CGCGTGATCAGTCCAAGAATAATGGCCACATTGGATGGCCGTGCATGCCCGTCCAGATGCTCGATGGCTTGTTGCGTTGTTGTTGCTCCTCTTGGTCCACGTGGAACGAATTCCAGGACACATGGTATTTCCATGTGTGGTTTATTTGGCTCTTTGGGCTAGGCACCGTGACTTTGTACAGCCGGTTTCAGGCGAACGCATTTTTGGGGGTGCTTGTCTACGGCTACTTTCATCAGGGCAGGTCGACCGTGGTGGATTCAGTCTGGAAGGAGACGTTGCGCCAATCGCGTTTCATACGTGAGTACTTCCCGCTTTCGGCCATACTCCTTATCATGTTCATCGCATAGATCCTCCACTACGCTTTCGGCGTGATAAGTTACTGGCCCCGCTGCGGGTGGAAGACGACAGACCACAAGCGGTGGCAACTGGATCTGACATGTGATCGCCCGAAGTGGATGGCTTGGGGGAGGAGTTTCGAGTTGGAGGTCAAGGGAACAGAGAACCTCGAGAGAACCATCACAGGCCCACTCGAGTGGGACTCTTGGAGAGGTAGTTTCAAGGGCGGACTAGTTGTGGTGCATCGCCCGGCCGGTAATACCTCGCTCTCAGGCCCTGCAGGCGGACCTCTGTACCTGTATAGTAGAGGGCGCCTCTACGAGCCATCCGAGGAAGGCTTCCCATTCATCATAAAATGGACAAGTAACAGGTTTGCATACACCACCTTGACAGGTGCAGAAGCAACCTCGTCCACAGTATTGGACGGAATCGCAGAGTGCTGCAGCATGTCTATCATGTAGGAAATGCACAAGTTGGAGCTAAAGGATTGGGGGAAGGCGAGTGACTTACTTGTCGAGTACGAGGATTTCAAGAAGGTGCATGATGATGCCCCCACAGAAGAGATGACAGGTGCACTCATCCAGGAAGTGCGAACCCTCCTTGGCAATGCTGTCAATGTCACGCGGTGTGCCTTCTCACGTCTATTGGCGTCTGCTTCTGTGGTGTTCAACTCCACTTCCAGGTCACCCATACCAACGCACTCTGTTCGGGTACGAAGCAATGCCCACACGCCCAGCAGGCCCTCTGGCTCGGAATTGCTTCGGCTCTCGTGTCAATGTTCTTAATTCTTGTCAAGGTTGTCGACATCACCAGGTAGTTGTGTACTGTATTTGATCTTCTCCGGCGCTACGGAGAAGTTCTCGACCCCGATCACGGGAAAGGGCAGTTGCAGTCAATGTTGAATCAAATCAATACGTCCAAATGGAGGCTATATGTTGATCTGTTTTAATGGTGCCAGCGTGTTTAACGTTTGTCTGGAACTTTTCGTGGGTAGGTGCCAAGTGGACTATGGATAGTTTTGTTTGTCCGAGCCACATGTGGAACTTCCCTGCTCTGATGGAGTTAACGAACCCAGTGAGCGGTTGTGTGGAGCTCAAGGACACAACCTTCTCGGTGTCATAGACCGACAAAAAAGTACTGACACCGCTACTCCCTGGACCTATCCAGTAGAGCCCTCCATGTTGCGCTACGGCCCATCGGGGGCTTTAGCGTATACCACGCAACAGCCCACGCCAGATGTCCTGGTATACGCTAAGCCTCTTGGGGCCGTAGGTGGGGTGGTGTCGCTTGTTTTTTGTCTTGTCCAGGGGGGATAATGAGTGAAGGGTAGAGGTAGGGGTACGTCTGCCTCCCCCGAGAAGCGCCCTCGAATCGGAGGGAGGAGATGCGACACCAACACCACCAGGGGGGCCACCTCCAGCGAGGAGGTCCACGGTGCCTTCCCGAGCTGGTGGCTGGGGATGTCTCGAGCGAGAGTTGGGACCACACCACCAGGGAGACCCCCGTTGCTCCCTGCATCTCCTCGCCCTCCTTCCCCTCCTCCTCCTCCTCCTCCTCCTCCTCCTCCTCATTCTCCTCCTCCTCCTCCTCCTCCTCCTCCTCCTCCTCCTCCTCGTGTCGTGTTTCCTTGTGTTTGCTCGAACCTCGAGCCTCGCAGCGCGACGAGGCAGACCTTCCCCCACCCGCTCTCGCCGCGAGGTCGGTGAGAACGTCACCGTGCGGAAGCACAGCTCCATGGGCTGCGCCGTGGTCGCGCCCCCCCGCGGCGAAGTGCGCCGCTCTCGCGGCCGGCGGCGGTGCCTCCGCACGGCGACGGCGAAGACCGCCTGCGACGAGCGGAGGCGCTCTCAAAGCGTTTGCCGACGTGTTTTCGGGCGCCAGGCGGCGCGCAGGAGAGGAGGAGGAGGAGGAGGGGGAGGGGGAGGAGAGGGAGGAGGAGGAGGAGGGGGAGGAGGAGGAGGAGGAGGAGGAGGGGGAGGAGGAAACGGAGGAGACGGAGGAGGAGAGGGAGGAGGAGGAGGAGTAGGAGGAGGAGGAGGAGGAGGAGGAGGAGGAGGAGGAGGAGGAGTTGGAGGAGGAGGAGGAGAACCCGCCGGGACCCGAGGGGGTTGTATTCTGACAGGGGACCCTTCCCCCCACCACCCCACCCACCCCACCTAGCAGGGACGGGATCAAGGGAAGGAGTTTTCCTTCGACTGAACTAAGACGTTCCTTTTCCTTGATCTCATTTTCCTTGGGACTGACGACGACGATGACGACGACGACGACGACGATGACAGCGTCTTCAACACGCCGAAGGGTCGGTGGACTTTTCTCCAACCTTGGTCCTGGATGGTTAAAAACGCGTCCAGGACAAACAATCGCCCACCCCGGGCAAGGCTCTATGTAGCTGTAGAGTCACGCTCTCTCTGTTTCTGCTCTGTTTCGTCGGCCGTTTCACTTCAAACCCTTTCATGATATCATCTTAAAAAAGCCAATCAGGTCAAAACCTATGGTAAGGATGGATCGCCTTCCCAAGGGTCCTTGCATCTGTTTTTTTTTTTAGTCCAGCCCTAATTACTGTCGATGGCCAGCTCCTCGCAAGAAGCTTCGACAGTGGCTTTCAAGAGGCTTGCATCCTTATCGCGCATCCTTACTATCTGTTTTGAATGTGCAGCCCCAGGAGGTCTTCAGTTTTAGCCTCCCCCCTGTGTCTCTCGGCGGGGAATAAATCGCCCCTCCTGTTGCTCCTCCTCCTCCTCCTCCTCCTCCCTTCGCCTTCCTCCTGCTCCTCCTCCTCGTCCTCCTGCTCCTCCTTGTGGTCGTTATCATAATTAGTCGTCGTCGTCGTCGTCGTCGCGGCGTATGTTTTCCCTCCATTGTCGGGCTGGCTGAAATATGTTGGGGATGTCTTTCTCCCAAGGAGCAATCCACTGTTGGTTACCCTGCATGCGAGAGGATTTGTGATCATGTCTTCATAAGGATTGTGCGTGATTGCAGTCGTGATTGTCATCAATATTATAATCGTTATTGTAGTCGTGATTGTAGTCGTACTCGTAGTCGTTTATGTAGTCGTAGTCGTAGTCGTAATCGTAGCCGTAGTCGTAGTCGTACTCGTAATCGTCGGCGCAGTCTTCGTCGTCGTCGTCGTTCTCGTCGTCGTCGTCGTCGTCGTTGTGGTGCGGCGCGTGCCGCGGAGAAACAGTTTTTCCATCATTGGTGGGGGCCCAGTCCGTCAATAAGTTCAACGAAACGATGCTTAGTTTCCAACAGTTGGGGGGGTGGGGGGGTAAGGACCTATCATGAGTCATTGCTATACAACGAAGTTCTCTCACATCTCACTCAAGAGGCTTACGCCATTCCGCCGACCCCCAAGGAAAGACTTGACATACTGGTTGGAAAGAAAGCAGCGGAGGAGAAGGAAGTGGAGGGGGAGGAGGGCGAGGAGCAGGAAGGGGCCTCTTGTGGCATCCGAAGAGATTTTTGGGGTTGCTTGGGGGCTTCTTGGGCGTTTCTCGAGGGCCTTCGGGAGGGCTCTTGGGAGCCTCTTGGTAATGCCTCGGGGGCTTCTGGGGGGTTTCTTGGGGTCATCTTGGGGTGAAAGGCTCGAACATCAGTTCGTATTTCAAGTTTTGTGCCCTTCTTGGGGTCTCTTCGCTGCCTCTTGGGCGATCTTGGGCGGTCTCTGGACCGCCTTAGGGCCCTCTTGGACCTTCTTGGGGCCCTCTTGGGGGCCTCATGGGCCGTCTTGGGGCGATCTTGGGTGCCTTCTGGGTCGTCTTGCACGGTGTCAAGACGAAGAAGGCGAGAAGGCCAACTAGGTACGTTTCCCGTTTGGAGTGGGACGATTTTGGCTTCTTGGGGCCTTCCTCGGCGGTCCTTGGGGAAGCCTCGTAGGCCGTCTCGAAGCCATGTTTGACCGTCGTGGAGCTGCCGAATGCCGTCTCGACGATCTCGTGGACTGTCTTGGCGCTCTGCTTGGGCTCCCTTGGACAGTCGTGGGGGTTGTCGGAGGCTCCGGAGGCCCCAGGGGAGGCGTTGACGAGCTCGCCCCCCTCCCTCCCCCCCTGACGGTACTGAGGGGGGGGCAGCCATATGTTCCACGCGCTCTTTCACCCCCCGCAAGCGGGGGTCTGCGGACGTCCCCGCAACTCTGGAGGTTGGAAAGGATATGGCATAAAGGGGCGTGGTGCCAATCGTGGAAATCGAGATGCTATCTGCAATAGATGGCATCGCCAGATTCAACATTGACACTATACCCCTTTATGCCACACCTCTTTCCTACCTCCAGGACAGCGTTCCGTTTTTGGCAGTGGAGCGTGACCTTGTTCGAGTATTTTTTGGCTATTCTTGAAGTTTTCGCCCAAAATCCGCCTGTAGGGGGACACGCCCGACCTAACTCTACCTCGTGCAGGACCCGTCCACTAAGCAACGGCGCTTCGAGCATCTAGTGGCCTTCGGCACATTGCGCTACAGTCGGGGCCCTGAAGAAGGAACCCTTTTCGTTGGGGAGGGGCTCCGTGTTCCTTAATTGTTTCGGAGCTTGCCTGAGGTTTTCCTTAGGTTTTCGATATGAAATCGAAGGTTAACTTATGGGAAAAGAGGCCTCGTTCCTTATTTAGGGTTCCTTAGGTCAAGGCCCCGACTGTACCGTGCCTGGGTCATTGACCAGAGGCCTCTTGGATGCATGACAGGGGGCTCTTGGAGTGCCTCTCAGAGGCATCTTCCAGGGCTCCGGGTGGCCTCGTGGGGCCTCTTGGGAGCCTCCTGGGGGCCTCTTTGGGGGCCTCTCGGGGGCCTGCCGGCAGTCTCGGAGATCATCTTGGGTGGCGGGCTCGAGACGCGCAGAACTCCGCCAATTCAGGAGGGAAAAAAACACACAGACACAATTAATCGTCGATTTCCCAGAAAATATGGGAAAATATGGGAAGTGGGGGGGAAGACAAAAACCCAGAAAATATGGGAAAATATGGGGGATCCTTTTATTTGTGTGTATTTATTTGTGTGTCCCCTGGCCCCTTCACCAATTGCGGATCAGAGTGAGGGGGCCAGGAGGAAGAGAACGGGGAGGGGGAAGCGGAGCTGCCAACGGGCGTCTCTTCAGGCAACCCGCCTCCCCAGCGCGCCCCCCCCCGCGCGCCCACCCCGCGCGCCCTCCTAGCGTAGCCTCCCTGACGCGCCCTCCCGGCGCGCCCTGCCCGCGCGCCCTTCCAGCGCGAAGGCCCCTGGAGGCCGAAGATGGCCAAACATTTTCCGTCGCGAGAGTTCCAGGTGGTCGTTTTCTTACCTATACGACCGCCCTGCGGGCGAGAAGGAGGTGGGGGGGGGATTGAGATCAAATGCCCACCCTGACGGACCTCCAGCCTGTCACCTTGATCTCATCTCTCTCTCTCTCTTTCTCTCTGTGTCTCTCTCTCTCTCACTCTCTGTGTGTCTCTCTCTCTCTCGCCCTCTCTCTATATATCAGAGTCTCCCTCCACCACAATGATGATCGCGATGACGATGAGATCCCACAATCTACCTATCCGTCGACCGACCTATCGGTGAATCTCACTGTCGATCTCACTATCGACCTCAAAAGCGAAATAAGAAAGCCCGCCGCAGGCGCCGAAAAACGATTTGTTGTCCGACAACCAATGATTGATGGATTGGGTTGGATGGATTGGATTGGGTGGGGTAAGATAAGATGGGACAATATGGGTTGGATAAGATAAGATGGATTGGATTGGACAAGATGGATTGGATAAGATAAGCTGGATTATGAAATTAGCGACATGCGTTAGCGCCGGGACGCCGGGGACACCCGGGATACCCGGTACACCGCCCAGCCCAATTGGGACACCTCCTAGCCACCGGCGGACGGGAAACGGACTTTCGCTCCTACTGACACCCGGGACACCCGGGACACCGCCCGACTCATTGGGACACCTCCCAGCCACTGGCGGACGGGAACGGACTTTCGCTCCTACCTCGGCCTAGCGAGAGGACGATCACGCGCAGCTTCGCCTCGCCCGCACGCTCGACACGAACACGAACACGAAACCGATTTCCCGGTGGGGGTCTCCGTTTCACTGCGATCTCACCGCCAACCTCCTATTCATTGTTTTGCCGATCGGCGCGGGCCCTCGCACCCCATCCCCCCACCCCCCTGAAGTAGATCTTGGCTGTCTTTGGCGCCTGCTTCACGCAGGTGGAGTCTCCCCCATAGGACGCACTGCTGCAAACTGTCGCATCAAGCAGAGGTCTGGAGCCAGACCCCCCCCCTTCCACCCCCCCCTTCCGCCCAATGTCGAAACGCCGCATAAGGAAACGCTCACCAGGATGCGATGGGGAGGGCATGCGGCTTCGCATGCCGGCTCGCAAGAGTCTGACGCCAACGAATGAGCCGTCAGCGGATCAGTCGGGCGAGTTGGCATCGGGCCGTCTATCACCAGTCTCGAACTGATCCCTATCCCTAAGATTGACACGCCAAACGGCGATGACAATCTTAGGGATGCGCCCTGAAAAACTAAAGGAATCCCTAAGACTGGCATCGCGAGGAGGCGATGCCCAGCTTGTGGATAGGGGTATGTTCCAGGCTGGTAAGTCTACGACGATCTGGGCATCTCCCAGAGCGCTCTCGGCGACGCGCAGTTGTCGCTTGACTGGAACATCTGGGAACCTAGAGGGCCAGGGCTACGTGGGAGACCTCGTCGAAGGTCGTCAGCTTCGTCGCCGTGCCCGGAGGCAGAAGGGATGTGCGACGGGAAGAGAGCGAACAGCATCCCACGCCCCCTGGCAGGTCTCCATGAAGGACACGCGCGTGCGGGATGCCATCCTGCGGCTCGGCGCCGAGATTATCATTAGCGGCATCAGGGTTCAGATGAAGCCTCACACAGACAAGGATCCCCAGGGAGGAGGGGGAAGGGAGGGGATTGCAAGGTTGCAGCTCTTGCAAGGTTTGAAATTCAGCATCGGCGCCAGGATGTCCACGGTCGGGAAGCGTCCGGATCCAGCCAGATCCCGCTCAGGCCCGCCTAATCCGGCTTACTCAGCCTGAATCCTGGGCCGACTCGGGCTTTGCACAGATCCGAGCCGCTCCTACGAAGAATGCCCGGGAGCCGCTTTCCAAGAGGGGTGGGGGAGGAGGAGGAGGAGGAGGAGGAGGAGGAGGAGGAGGAGGAGGAGGAGGAGGAGGAGGAGGAGGAGGAGGAGGAGGAGGAGGAGGAGGAGGAGGAGGAGGAGGAGGAGGAGGAGGAGCAGGAGCAGGAGCAGGAGCAGGAGCAGGAGCAGGAGCGAGGAGGAGGAGGAGGAGGACGAGGAGGAGGAGGAGGAGCAGGAGGAGGAGGAGGAGGAGGAGCAGGAGGAGGAGGAGGCGAAGCAGGACTCCGAAGACACGGAGGGACGCGGACGACGAGGAGGAGGAGGAGGACGAGGAGTTGGGAGCCCCGTCGCGGGCACCCCTGTGGCCAGCCGCCCCTATGCTGGAGTGCCCATACCCAAAGGCCTCCTGATGGCCCCAAGCGCGTGACGACTTTCCGCCAGTCGAGTCCAGTTGAGTCCAAATGAGACCAGGTGAGTCCAGTTGAGCCAGATGAGTCCAGATACGTCCAGATACGATGAGTCCAGATACGTCCAGATACGATGAGTCCGAGTGGGGAATCGAGCCAGACGAGTCCAGCCGAGTCCAGATACGCCTCAGGCAACTCCAGGTCGGTCTGGGCAGCTCCAGGTGACTCCAGAGATCTCCCGGGAAGTTTGGAGCACATCGCGGCCACTCCGGCGCGAGTCGAGGGACGGCATGGGTCGCTAAGCCCCTAGCGACTGATGGGCCCCCTCCCCCCCCCCGGTGGCAGGGCGTGTTGCACCGGCAAGCGCACGCGCCCGGCGCCCGTGGCCACGCGCCCCTAAGCGAGGGGCGTGCCAGGGCTGCGGTGGCCAGAGGATGTGGGTCTAGACCACCGAGAACGGGTCGGAGCAGATGGGGTCGGAGGATCGCGCCGCGATGCGGCTCGATGTGGAGCCCGATTTGCCTCACTTCGACATCGCCGATGCATCGCCGACGTCGACGATGCATCGCCGGTGCATCGCCGATGCATCGCCGATGCATCGCCGATGTATCGGCGATGCGGCGCGATCCCCCGAGCCCAGCTACTCGGGCCCCATCTAGGAGGCCTCTACTGTGGGGCGGGATGGGCTGAGGGGCAGGCGGAGCAGGAGGAGGTCAATGATGCAGGACGATGATTAAGAAATTACCAGGGGTCGTTTTCATGCGGCGGCGCCCAGGATTATGATCAGAAAAGCTTGCCCCAGGCTGGGATATATTTAAATCGATCGATCCCTCCCCGCCCCTTCTCGAGCACGCACCCAGACGGCCGACGGGCTGGGGTAAAAGAAAAAGGAGGGGAGTCAACGGCAGCAGGAGGCAACTACAACGATAAACGGATAGGATATGCAGCTACCATGAGCTGCAGTTGAGGATTTGGGTGCTGTCGTAGGGGATGTAGTTGGAGTTGTACAGTCCAGAGTGAGCTGTAGCAGGTGCTGTAGTGACAAGAGATACGTGGTTCCATGGGCCGTACTTTGATGTTACTGATACCTGCAATTGGAGCCGCAGTAGGACATGGTGTAATAAGAACGGCACTCGGAGTTGAGTAGGATATGTATTTTCAGGACCAGGGGGTGAATCTGAACCATGCGAGGACACCAAAAGGATTCGTATTGGATTCCAGGTCTGCAATAGCATTCAACGATTCCAAGAGGGCTCCAATAGGACAACAATTTATTTCCAATAAGTTTGTGTTCCAATGGCGTTACAATATTATTGTATGCTGAACAACTTAATTGCGTTGATTGAACGCTTGTCAGCATTTTGTCACCGCTCCCCTCAAGGTGCCATCGCGAGTCGGAAACTAGTTGTTTCATCGTCCCCTTTTCATTTGTGATTGATCGTCATCATACCTCCAGGAATCGAAGTAGCATGTGTGGGAGATGCTGAAGATGAGTTGGATAAGAGGATGATGATTAGGAGGAGTAGTGTATTCATGCTGTCGGAGATGCCCAAGAGGAGGGGGACAAGAGGATCAGGAGGGGTCGGACCAGGCGGACATGGGGTGGGAGGAGGAGCAGAAAGCAGGAGGACATGGGAAGAGGACGACGGTGTTGATATCGTTGTTCATGCTCGTGATGATGGTGTGAGTGGTGTTGTGTTCGTTGCCAGTAGGGTGCGGCGGATGACCACGACGGCGACCACGACCACGACCACGAACACGACGACAACGATGACCATGACGATGACGACGATGACGATAATGGTGATTATGATGATGCTGATGATGCTGCTGATGATGCTGATGATGATGCTGATGATGCTGATGCTGCTGATGATGACGATGACGATCACGACGACGATGCTGATGCTGCGGATGATGACGATGACGATCATTCTGATGATGCTGATGACGATGCTGATGACGATGCTGATGATGCTGATGATGTGGACACTGATGCTGATGGCGACGATGACGATGCTGATGCTGCTGGTGATGACGACGATGGCGATGACCATGACATTGAGGATGATGATGCTGATGCTGATGCAGACGATGATGATGCTGATCATGCTGCTGATGATGATGTTGATGACTGTGGTGGTGGTTTGGGTGGTGTGATGATGCTGACGATGATGCTGATGCTGATGCTGCTGCAGATGATGATAATGCTGCTGCTGATGATGCTGATGATGCTGCTGATGATGCCGATGATGATGCTGATGCTGCTGATGCTGCTGATGATGACGATGACGATCACGACGACGATGCTGATGTTGCGGATGATGATGATGACGATCATTCTGATGATGCTGATGACGATGCTGATGACGATGCTGATGATGCTGATGATGTGGACACTGATGCTGATGGCGACGATGACGATGTTGATGCTGCTGATGATGACGACGATGGCGATGACCATGGCATTGAGGATGATGATGCTGATGCTGATGCTGACGATGATGATGCTGATCATGCTGCTGCTGATGATGATGATGATGATGATGATGATGACTGTGGTGGTGGTTCGGGTGGTGTGATGATGCTGACGATGATGCTGATGCTGATGCTGCTGCAGATGATGATAATGCTGCTGATGATGATGCTGCGAATGATCATGGTGTTAATGTTGCTGCTGAGGACTATGCTGCTGATGCTGATGCGGAGTATGATGCGATGATGATGATGATGATGATGCTGGGGGTGATGCTATGATGCTGATGGGGATGATGGTGATGATGCTGATGATGATGCTGATGATGCTGATGATCATGACCATGATGATTCTGATGATGATGAGGGGGACGGTTAGGAGGATGACGCGTCTTATGAGGTTGAGGCTGACGATGATGATCGGGTGACGATGACGATAGTTGTGGTGGTGGTGATGAGTATGATGCTGATGCTGAAGCTGATGCTAATGATGGTGATCATGAGGCTGACGATGGTGATGATGATGCTGATGCTGATGATGCTGCTGCTCTTGCTGATGATGCTGCAACTGCTGACGCTGATGCTGATGCTGATGCTGCTGATGATGCTGATGCTGCTGATGTTGATGACGATTGATGCTGATGATGACGATGATAGTGATGATGCTGATGACGATGACGATGATGATGATGCTGATGATGATGATGCTGCTGCTGATGATGATGATGCTGATCGTCATGATGCTGATGATGCTGATGATGCTGATGATGAGGATTATGATTATGATGATGATTATGATGCTGCTGCTGTTGATGATGATGCTGATGCTGTTGATGATGATGCTGATGCTGTTGATGATGATGATGATGATGATGATGATGATGATGCTGATGATGATGATGATGATGATGATGATGATGCGGGTGTTGGTGGTAATCACGATGATGGCGATGACGGCTGCGATGGAGATGATGTTGACCATGGCTAGGATGATAAGGAGGGTTATGCGATATGAGGATGGTGGGGATGCAATGGTGATGCTGCTGGTGATGGCAGAATCATGTAGGCACCAGGCGTGGACGGAGGTCGTGTGACGGGGCAACAAGAAACGGAACGACATGTGAGAATCGCTCTTCGGCGTTTTTCGGCCTTGTATTGCTACACATCCGCGTAACTGTTGAGCGCTTCAAGCTTCAGACTCAGAGTGGTGCGGAAGTCAGGAGAAACGCTCGGCCCGCCTCACCGACGTGTCCCCACCGAGTTGGTCCCAAAGGAAGAGGAGGGGACGAGGAGTAGCAGGAGGAGCCGAGGAGGGAGAGGACGACGAAGACCAGGACGAGGACGGGGAGGAGGAGGAGGAGGAGGAGGAGGAGGAGGAGGAGGAGGAGGAGGACGGGGAGGAGGAGGAGGAGGAGGAGGAGGAGGAGGAGAAGGAGGAGGAGGAGGTTGCCGAGGAGGAGGAGGAGGAGGAGGAGGAGGAGAAGGGCGAGCGAGGGTCCCCCCCCTCATCCGCCCCTCGCTGGGCGGCGGCCAGCGCCCGGCGAGGAGACGAAGATGGAGATCCCGACAGACATCTTCGTCGCGTGGGGGCGGCAGGCGGGCGCCGCCCCCCTGCCGCCGCCGCCGCCGCCGTCGCCGCCGCCGTGGTCGAGGTTCGAGGCCTCTGGATGCAGCTGTTGCCTACGTTCCGAGACGGGATTCTCGTCGACCGTCGGCCGTCTGGATGCGTGCTCCAATTGCAGGTATCAGTAACATCAAAGTACGGCCCATGGAACCACGTATCTCTTGTCACTACAGCACCTGCTACAGCTCACTCTGGACTGTACAACTCCAACTACATCCCCTACGACAGCACCCAATCTTCAACTGCAGCGCATGGTAGCTGCAAATCCTATCCGTTTATCGTTGTAGTTGCATCCCGCTGCCGTTGACCCCCCTCCTTTTTCTTGTACCCCAGCCCGTCGGCCGTCTGGGTGCGTGCTCGAGAAGGGCCGGGGAGGGATCGCTCGATCAAGATATCTCCCAGACCGGGGCAAGCTTTTCTGATCATAATCCTGAGCGACGCCGCATGGAAACGACCCCTGGTGATTTCTCAGTCGTCTTCCTGAATCATTGACCTCCTCCTGCTCAGCCTGACCCTCAGGCCCTCCTGCCTCACAGTCGAGGCCTCCTAGATGGGGTCTAAGTAGCTGGGGTCGGGGGATCGCGCCGCATCGCCGATGCATCGGCGATGCGGCTTGATGTGGAGCCCGCTTTTCTCCACGCCGACGTCGCCGATGCACCGCCGACGTCGCCGATGCACCGCCGACGTCGCCAGTGCATCGCCGGTGCATCGACGATACATCGGAGATGTATCGGCGATGCGGCGAGATCCTCCGACCCCATCTAATCGGACCCCGTCTAAGAGGCCTCTAGAGACGGGGTTCTCGTCGCCCCCCAGATTCTAGGATTGGGCTCTGTCTGTTGCTCAGACGCCTCCGAGTCGCTCTCTCTTCTCCCACGTCCTTGTTGTTGTCGGTGGTGTTGTTGTTGTTGTTGTTATTATTGTTGTTGTTATTGCTGTTGTTGTGGCTGTTGTTATTGCTGCTGTTGTTGCAATTGTTGTTGTTGTTGCTGTCGTTGTTGTTAGTGTGGCTGTTGTTGTTGTATTGTTGTTGTTGATGGTGTTTATATTGCTGTTGTTGTCGTTGTTGTGGGTGTTGTGGTTGTTGTTGCAGTGGTGCATTTTTGTGTGGTTTGTTGTGATGCTGATGAAGGTGATGATGGTGATGATGATGACGACGATGCTGACTGTGCTCATGATTTCGATGAATCGAGACGGAGGAGTGAGTATAGACAGGGCCATTACTTTGAACATACTGGTAGTTGATGTGGGGATGGTGATGCTGCTGCTAATGTTTGCGATGATGCTGATGATGATTGTGATGATGATGATGATGATGATGATGATGATGCCGATGATGCTGATGATGAGGATGAAGAAGATCATTATGTGGATGACGATGGTCATTATCATTATTGTTGTAATTCTTATTACTGGTTTGAGTGTTATTTGCAACATCACTTGATGCTGATGATGCTGACGATGCCGATGCTGATTATGGTCACGCTACTGATGATTATGGCACTGATGATGGTTTTGATGATGGTGACTGTTGTCGATGCTGATAATGATGGTGCTGATGATGATGATGATGCTGATGATGATGATGCTGATGCTGATGCTGATGCTGATGCTGATGATGATGATGATGATGATGATGATGCTGATGATGATGGTGATGAATTTGATCAGGCTGATGCTGCTGCTGATGCTCGCGATTCTGATGCTGCTGCTGATAATGCTGATGAGGATGGGAATGATGAATATTATGATGATGCTGACGATGCTGCTGATGATGATGCTGATGATGCTGATGATGCTGATGATGCTGATTATGCTGCTGATGATGATGATGATGATGATGATGATGATGATGACGATGCTGATGATGATGGTGGTGGTGGTTGTGATCATGCTGCTGATGATGATGATGGCGGTGCTGATGATGATGCTGCTGATGATGGCTGCTGCGGATGATGATGTTGTTTATGATGATGACGATGATGCTGATGATGCTGAACATGATGATGACGATGCTGATGCTACTGATGATGATGATAATGATGATGATGCTGATGCTGCTGATGATGATGATGATGATGGTGGTGATGATGATGATGATGGTGATGCTGATGACGACGACGACGACGACGACGACGACGATGATGATGATGATGATGATGATGATGATGATGATGATGATGATGATGATGATGATGATGATGATGATGATGATGATGACGAGGCGGAGGAGGAGGAAGAGGAGGAGAAGGAGGAGGAGGTCGTCACCCCGACGAGGTAGAGAAGACTTCTCCGCTGTCCGAGCGCGAGCTCACGAAGTATTTCGATACGAAGCACCAGGACTTCCTGTCCGCCTGGCGCGGCGAAGAGGAGCTCCGATGGGAGCGTCGTCGTCGTCCTCCTCCACCACATCTTTCTGCGCTCGTTCACGCGTGCATGCTCGGAGGCGCGCGCGAGGAGGAGGAGGAGGCGGAGGCGGAGGCGGAGGCGGAGGCGGAGGCGGCGTTCTCGAGGCCGGGGGATTGTGGAGTCCCTGTGGGTTTCAGACGATTTTTTACGATCTTTCACGTTGCTCCTCATCATTATTCTGATATTTCCTCTCTCGCTTTCTCTCTCTCTCTCTCTCTCAATCTCTCCCACTCCCATTCCCATTCCATTCCAAATCCCATTCCCAATACCATTACCATTACCATTCCCATCCCCATTCCCATTCACATTACCATTACCATTACCTTTACCTTTATCTTTACATTTACCTTTACCAGTACCATTACCATCCATTACCATGGTCATTACAATTGCCATTGTCATTGTCATTGACATTCCCATTGCCATTCCCATTGCCATTACCAGTGCCGTTGCCATTGCCATTGTATTGCCATTGCCAGTCGCCACCCCGTTACGATTACCAGTACCGTTACCATAACCATTACCATTACCATTCCCATTACCATGAGCCACTACCATTACCGTTACCGTTACCATTAGCATTACCAACACCACTGCCATTACCATTACCATTACCATTACCGTTGCCATCACCATTACAATTCCCATTCCCATCACCATTGCCATTACCATGGCCGTTACCAGTACCATTTCCATTGCCATTACCATTACCATTGCCATTATCATTACCACTACCACTACCATTTCCATTCCCGTTCCCGTTCCAATTACCACTACGATTCCCATTTCCATTCCCATCCCCATTACCATTACCATTCCCATTACCATTACCATTACCATGACCATGACCATTACCATTACCATTGCCATGGCCATTGCTATTGCCATTGCCATTGCCGTTGCCATTCCCATTGCCATTGCCATTACCAGTACCGTTGCCATCGCCGTTGCCATTGCCATTGCCAGTCGCTACCCCGTTACCATTGCCATAACCATTACCACTACCGTTACCGTTACCATTACCATTCGCAGTACAATTACCAATACCGTTGTCATTGCCATTACCATTACCATTGCCATTTCCATTGCCATTCGCCACTACCATTACCATTGCCATTCGCCACTACCATTACCATTACCATTGCCATTGCCATTGCCATTCGCCACTACCATTACCTTTGCCAGTACCATTGCCATTCCGATTCACATTCCCATTCCCAATGCCATTACCATTACAATTACCATTACAATTGCCTTTGCCATTACCATTGCCATTACCTTTACCTCTACCTTTACCTTTACCCTCGCCCGTACCATTCCCATTCCCGTTACCACTACCACTGCCATTTCCATTCCCGTTCCCATTCCCATTCCCATTCACATTCCCATTCCCGTTCCCATTCCCATTCACATTACCATTACCATTACCATTCCCATTACTATTGCCATTGCCATTGCCATTGCCATTACCAGTACCGTTGCCATTGCCATCACCATTGCCATTGTCAGTCGCTACCACGTTGCCACTATCATTACCGTTACCATTACCAGTACCATTGCCATTACCTCTGTCATTACCATTACCACTCGCATTGCCATTGCCATTGCCATTAGCCACTACCATTGCCATTGCCAGTACCATTTCCATTGCCACTCCCATTCCCATGACCATTACCATTACCATTACCATTATCATTTCCATTACCATTACCATCACCATTATCATTTCCATTACCATTACCATTAACTTTACCTCTACCTTTATCTTTACCCTTACCCTTATCATTCCCATTTCCTTTCCACTACCACTACCATTTCCATTCCCGTTCCCGTTCCCATTCCCCATTCCCATTCACATTCCCATTCCCGTTCCCATTCCCGTTACCACTGCCATTGCCATTACACTTACCATTGCCGTTGCCATTACCATGGCCATTATCATTGGCATTGCCATCGCCATTGCCAATCCCATTGCCATTGCCATTACCATTGCCGTTGCCATTGTCATTGTCATTGCCATTGCCAATCACTACCCCGTTACCATTACCATTACCTCTGTCATTACCATTGCCATTCGCATTGCCTTCGCCATTGCCATTCGCCACTACCATTACCATTGCCAGTACCATTTCCATTCCCATTCCCATTCCCATTACCATTACCATTACCATTACCGTTACCGTTACCATTACCGCTGCCATTACCATTAGAATTCCCATTCCCATTCCCATTCCCATTCCCAATGCCATTACCATGTCCATTACCATTACCATTACCATTACCATTACCATTACCATTACCATTACCATTACCATTACCATTACCATTACCATTACCATTACCATTACCAGTGCCATTACCATTACCACTACCACTATCATTTCCATTCCCGTTCCCGTTCCCATTCCCACGCCCATTACCATTACTATTACCACTGCCATTGCCATTACCATTACCATTACCTTTACCTCTACCTTTACCTTTACTCTTACCATTACCATTACCATTGCCATGGCCATTACCATTGCCATTGCCATTGCCATTGTCATTGTCATTCCCATTGCCATTGCCATCACCGTTACCATTACCGTTGCCATTGCCATTGTCTTTGCATCGCTACCCCGTTACCACTATCATTACCGTAACCCTTACCAGTACCATTACCATTACCACTGTCATTACCATTACCATTACCATTACCATTGCCATTGCCATTATCATTGCCATTGCCATTGTCATTCGAGGTTTTCAGTAGGAATCATTCAGTGGAGGGTTTCAGTAGGAATCCACATGTGGAGGATTTCAATAGTAATCATTCAGTGGAGGGTTTCGATAGGAATCCTTCTGTCGAGGATTTCACTGTGAGTTCTTCTTATGGGGGCGTTCAATAGGCTTCTAGGGGGGAGGGCAGATGTGGCCACGTCGCATTCCTTTTTTTTTCTCCTGGCGTCCCCCCCCCCTCAGATATTTTTTTCCTGGGGGGGGGGACGCCAGGAGAAAAAAAAGGGCAGAGAGGTAGGAGGAGGGGGAGAGGGAAGAGGAGGAGGAGGCGGAGGAGGAGGAAGAGGAGGAGGAGGAGGAGGAGGACGACACAGAGCAGAGCTTGCACAGAAACAGTCGCGAACTCAGCGCGAAAGCCTCGCGCGCGCGCTTTGGAACCACAGGGACTCCACAATCCCCCGTTCTCGAGGAGGAGGAGAAGGAGGAGGAGGAGGATGAAAAGGAGGAGGAGGATTCTTCGATATGTTGGTTTCTCTCAGAGGCGTCCAGGCACCTCGGCGCAGGCCTGCTGAGATCTTCAGGGACCTGCATGGACCTCCTCCTCTTCATCCCAGGAGGAGGACCAGAGTAAACCCAGGATGCATCAACGATGCTGCAATCCACGCTCCCGTACCAAGTCCCCTCCTCATGAGCCCCTACAGTTGACGGTGGGAAGTGCACCCCTTGAATGACGGTCGCATTGGGCGTGCCGCTCAGGCAAGGCGCCGTATCGCAAAGGATCTACTACCCTCAAAGAATTGGAGGGGAGTATGTATGATGAGGAATTCCCAGGAAAGCGGTAGCCCCGTTCTGAACAGGATTTGTGCACCGTCTGTGTTGGCGTCGCACAGTGGCGTCGCACAGTTTCAAACGTCTGACCATACGTAATGTGCGGCGGTAGCAAGCGATTTTCTCTAAAGGAATGCGCCGCTCTCTATCACTTGAACATTTTTTTGATGGTTTGGGGTTTTTGTCCATGTATTCCGAGAGCGTCTCAAACCAGGGCCGCATTACATAGGAAGCTGCCCTCCATCCTTGTATCTGTTAAGCCGAATGTGCGCAGCGCTAGGGCGAGCACTCCCTTTTGAAAACCACCGGCCTTACATCCTTGCAACTTTGGCAAAAGAGAATGCGTGGCGCACAGGCGATACTATCAGAAACCGCCAGACCTCAACCCTTGTGTCTGTTAGCATTTCTTAGGTTAAGTATCGTGAGTGTGAGTGATATGTACGTAGGAGGAGGAAGCGGAGGAGGAGGAGGTATGGACGGGGGATGGAGGAGTGAGGAAGGAAGGGGAATGGGAGGGGAATGGGAGGGGAATGAAAGGTGGGAGGACGGCGGAGGAGGATGAGGAGGATATGGAGGGAAGGGGAGGAGGGATGAGGAGGGATGGAAGCGGAGGAGAAGGGTGAGATGGAGGAGGATGAGGAGGAGGAGGAGGAGGAAAAAGATAAGGAGGATAGAAGGGAGGTGGAATCTGGAGTCTCTGCTTGATGACATTGTCACCTGAAACTCTGCGCGGGACTGCACGGCGCGGCACTACCTTCCACTCAGAAGGCCTTCGAAACCAGGGTGCGGTTCATTGTGTCGACGCTGAGGCGATGGCTGCACCGAGCACTGAGAGGAGGTATCCTACCTCACTTCTGCCATCATGCTTCGTCGATGTGTCGCCCGTTGTAGACTCCCGTTTCCGTTTCCATTTAGAACGTTGAATACAAGCCTATGCCAACCTGTATATATCCGTAAAGGCTTCGCCCCTTGCCGCCGGCCCCCTCTCTCGGAGAATGGGCCATGGAAGAGCTAAGTCATGAGGCTTTGGCGCTGTCGTGCAGCAGTATCGGAACTTCATGCGAGGCCGATTCGCAATCGGCAAAACCAACTGATCACAAGAGGGGTTACCACACAGGGCGATTGGTAAGACGTGTATGGTTTACGAGCTTGGTTACCACACCTTGGGATTAAAGGGCCGAGGGAGTACTCGCAGTTTGGGTTACCACGCCTTGCGATGGATGTGCGTGAGGGGTGGCACCGAATTTCAGAAATGTGGCAAATCCCCTGTGTTTTTGGACCCTGACCCCGCGGATCTGCGTGAGGGGTGGCACCGAATTTCAGAAATGTGGCAAATCCCATGTGTTTTTGGACCCTGACCCCGCGGATCTGCGTGAGGGGTGGCACCGAATTTCAGAAATGTGGCAAATCCCCTGTGTTTTTGGACCCTGACCCCGCGGATCTGCGTGAGGGGTGGCACCGAATTTCAGAAATGTGGCAAATCCCATGTGTTTTTGGACCCTGACCCCGCGGATCTGCGTGAGGGGTGGCACCGAATTTCAGAAATGTGGCAAATCCCATGTGTTTTTGGACCCTGACCCCGCGGATCTGCGTGAGGGGTGGCACCGAATTTCAGAAATGTGGCAAATCCCATGTGTTTTTGGACCCTGACCCCGCGGATCTGCGTGAGGGGTGGCACCGAATTTCAGAAATGTGGCAAATCCCATGTGTTTTTGGACCCTGACCCCGCGGATCTGCGTGAGGGGTGGCACCGAATTTCAGAAATGTGGCAAATCCCTTGTGTTTTTGGACCCTGACCCCGCGGATCTGCGTGAGGGGTGGCACCGAATTTCAGAAATGTGGCAAATCCCATGTGTTTTTGGACCCTGACCCCGCGGATCTGCGTGAGGGGTGGCACCGAATTTCAGAAATGTGGCAAATCCCCTGTGTTTTTGGACCCTGACCCCGCGGATCTGCGTGAGGGGTGGCACCGAATTTCAGAAATGTGGCAAATCCCATATGTTTTTGGACCCTGACCCCGCGGATCTGCGTGAGGGGTGGCACCGAATTTCAGAAATGTGGCAAATCCCATGTGTTTTTGGACCCTGACCCCGCCGATCTGCGTGAGGGGTGTCGATTTCGAGCCCCCCCAGCAATTCAGACAACGCGCCCAGGGGGTGCTAAAAAATCCTGTTTGGGCCTCCTCCCCCCTCGCGCGGCCAATCAACTAGTTACAGTAACCAGCAAGAAGTCAACTAGTTACAGTAACCAGCAAGAAGCAGAACTGTAACACTGGAAACTAGAAACTACAACTGGTACAGGAAACTGCGAATCACGCGCCTCGCAGCCTGGTGGCCCCACAAGGGGGCCGGCGGATACATATATAGAAATCTATCTATTGATCCATGTCCCGTTATTGCCTTCCGATGCTGCTGCTAAGTGTGCATTTCGCTGTGCGAAAGGCTGGGGTTCACATCTCATGGCTCTCCTTCTGTTCAGCAGCTCGCTCACTGAGAAACGTTCTACGTCTGATTCGGGTTCGGGTCTGCAGCTGATGGTGTCGGCCTCGACCTTCGTATCTCGCGACCCCGCCCCGTGGTGTATCTGATGGCATTGGGCTCGTGCTTCGCCTCCGCCACTGCCGCCAGCCAGGACGGCTCTCATGCGCCGCTTTCGGGGTCTTTAGTTGATGACGTCGGGCTTGCCCGTCGCACCACGCGACTGAGCCCCGTCGTTGCAGCTGATGGCATTGGGCTCGTGCTTCGTCTTCGCAACTGCCGCCTTCTTCGGCTCACGCATGCAACGTTCTCGGGCCTGTAGCTGATGACGTCGAGCTCGACCTTCGCGTCACGCGACACAGCGCCGTCGTTGTAGCTGATGGCATCGGACTTGTGCTTCGTCGCCGCCACTGCCGCTATCCCAGACCTCCCTCATGCACTGTCCTCGGGTCTGTAGCTGATGACGTCGAGCTCGGCCTTCGCGTCAAGCGACACAACCCCGTGGTGTAGATGATGGCATTGGGCTCGTACTTCTTCTCAGTCACTGCCGCCATCCAAGACTTCACGCATGCGCCGTCCACGGGTCCGTAGCTAATGACGTCATGCTCGACCTTCGCATCTCGCGGCCATGTCTCATCGTTGTAGCCGATGGCATTGGGCTCGTGCTTCGCCTCCGCCACTGCTGCCATCCAAGAGTTCACACGTGCACCTACTTCGGGTCTGTTGTGGATGCCGTCAGGTATAATTTCGGCGTCACGCGACACCGCCCCGTCGCTGTAGCTGACGGCATTGGGCTCGATCTTCGCCCCCCTCCCCCCAGGGCGCCCTTCTCGCGTCGCTCGCGCATACGTTTCCCTGCGCTGTAGCTGATGTCGTGAGAGCCTGGCGTCGGCGCCCCATCTTTTTTCATGGCTCCCATGTAAATAGCGAATTGGGTTTGAGCCAAGCTGGTTACGAGGGAGGTGGTCGTGTGTATCGGACAGCCCGTCCACCGCCCAGTGTGCTCGTACGCATCGCCTGCCGACTCCGCTCGCTGCTGCCACTGCCTTTCTGTCCCCCACGTTCTGGCCATGTCTTCCCGAGGCTTCTGTCCATAGTTCTCCCACCTGCCGCTCCCAACGCTGTAGCTGACGGCGTTGGAATCGATATGCTGCATCTTGCGCAGCTGCTCCACCTCGCGGGTGAGGCGGCGGATGGCTTGCTCAGCCAGCCACTGTTCCCAATGCCCGCCTGGCTTGGCGCTCTGTTGGGGTGAACCTGGGGCGCCACTCTCCAGCACCCGTCCCGTAGCACCTCTTAAATGCCAGTGCAGCAGGAGGATGAGCAGGATGAGGATGAGGAGGAGGAGGGGGAAGATCAAGGGGGGAGGAATGTGAGGAGGTTTACGACGGTTTTTCCGCAATTCCCGGAAGTTCTCGGAGGTCTCCAGGGGGATTCTGAGGATCCCACGAGTTTTCGATTGTTTTCCAAGGTTTTGGGAGGTTCCCAGAGAGGGAGGGAGGATTTTGAAGAGAGGGAGGAGAAAGAGGCGGCGGAGGAGCAGGAGGAGCATGAACAGGAGTGAGTAGGCAGGGGTGGCTGAAATGGAGGGAGCATGAGTCTTCAGATGTGTCCGGTTGTTGTAAGAGAGTTCGGGATTTGTTGAGAGGTTTGTAGAGTCTTCCAGACACAGGGTTCTTGAGGCTGAGGACGGTGACCGTGACGATGATACTGATTATTATGCTGATGTCCATGACATGCTGATGATGACGACGATGACGACGACGGCGATGATCATTGTTCTTCTGATGCCGACGAGGATGATACACATGGGGGCGAATCACTGAGCCAGGAGAAGGGCAACACGGGGGAATGGTGTTATTTCGTATGGAGATGTTCTTGCAGTTCTCGTTGGCTCTCTTGGGCGTTCCTTCGATTAGTTTCTATGATTTGCTTGCAGAAACAACCGTGCACAGTTCAGTGATTGCGCTGGAACCAGGCTTACGTTTGATTCTGAAGGAGCTTGCTATTCCGTAGGTCCTCGAGTGGTTGTTCCTTTGGTCTGCCCGCCCGCGCGCACGTCCATGCAGCATCGTGCGACCCCATCTGATCCCAAGAGAAAGTAGCGCTGGGGGAGGAGGGCCAGCACGCGATATGAACCGGGTACTCCAGATCTCACCATACAAGAGGTTGGGTCTGATTCGGGGGGGGGTCTGCTCTCTGCTGTCTTGGAGGGTGCGGGGAGTCTGGACAAAACGTCGCCCTTTCATGGCTGGTCTGGGTGGGTCTAGAGTGCTCGTCTGGGAGGGTTGTGACCCCTCTCCTTGTATCACCAGCCTCGAACGTATCCCTATCCCTAAGATTGACACGCTAAAAGGAGATGACAATCTTAGGGATACACCCTCAGAAACTGAGGAAATCCTTGAGCTCGCCATCGTGATGAGGCGATGCCCAACATAGGGATAGGGATATGTTCCAGACTGGTAATTTTATTGTGAAATCTGGAGTGCATCCTGCGCGCGGGGCGCAGAACGCGCGCAGCCCGCACTCCCCGCCGCCGCTCCTCTGCGCCCTGCGCCGCAACCGCAGGAGAAGCAGCGGCAGGCGGAGGAGGCCGCCAGGCAGCAGAAGGCGCTCGAGGACGCGCCTCCCTCGCGCTCCTCCTCCCCCTCCTCCCCCTCCTCCTCCTCCTCCTCCTCCTCCTCCTCCTCCTCCTCCTCCTCCTCCTCCTCCTCCTCCTCCTCCTCCTCCTCCTCCTCCTCCTCCTCCTCCTCCTCCTCCCCCTCCCCCCCCCTCCCCCTCCTCCTCCTCCGCCTCCTCCGCCTCTCCTCCTCCTCCTCCGCCCTCCGCCTCCTCCTCCTCCTCCTCCTCCTCCTCCTCCTCTCCTCCTCCTCCTCCACTCTCCTCCTCCTCCTCCGCTTCCTCCTCCTCCTCCTCCTCCTCCTCCTCCTCCTCCTCCTCCTCCTCCTCCTCCTCCTCTTCGCTCCCCCAGGCCACGGAGGCACGGGGCGCCCCCGAGCTCGCGCTCCCTCTCTCCCTCGCGCGCTCCTCCTCGTTCTCGGATCCTCCCAGCGTCGACGACGGCTCCGCCGCGCACGGCCTCGCCTGGGCGCGCTGTGGAGGTCGGGACCCTGGGCGGGGGGGGGGGGGCAGATGGCCAGGCCCCCCCCCCCCCCCGACTGCCGCCCCCCAGCAGCCACCGAAAGCGGCGATCGTTCCAGTCTTCGCAGCCCCCCCCCCCAGGCATGGCGAGGTCCACAGTGTGGAGGCCCATGCCAAGTACAGAAGGGGCGTTGACCTAACGAGCCCTAAATAAGGAACGAGGCCTCTTTTTCCCATAAGTTTAACTTCGATGTCCCATCGAAGCCCTAAGCAAAATCAAAGGCGAACTGCAAAACAACTAAGGAACACCGAGCCCCTCCCCAACGAAAAGGGTTCCTTCCTCAGTGCCCCGACTGTAACACCCCTGCTTGCCTCCAGGGTGCCCTGGGTTTCTTGAGTTTCGACGGCTTTTTTCTGGTGGACAGCGTGACGTTCCCACACTGAAGTCGATGGGCGTCCTGGGGTCTCAGGGCTGGGTTTCTTGTGGAAGGTTTCTTGTGGCCGGGCCCCTACTGTACACTGGATCCCCGCAGGGTCCCACGGTGCTGGACCCCCTTCAGCGGCCTTCGCCCCACCCCCCCCAGGCATGGTGATGCCTGGCCTGGAGCCCCGCAGGACTTTACTGCGCTGGACCCCCCCCCAGGGCTCGTCTCGATTCCTCCGATTCGATCCGATTCGATTTCGATGGCTTTCGATTCCGATTCGATTCGATTCGGTTTCGGATTCCGATTCGGGCTCCGATTTCTCAATGGAGCTCTACTGGCCTGCCGATTTTTGCCGATTCGACTGTTCCCGACTCGGCTGCCGATTTCCGCCGATCCGGTCCATTTCGATCGCCGAGCCGACTTGTCGATTCGATTCTGGTCTCTCCTGCCCCTGCAGCTCTCGAGTGGCGGCGGTTTCACATGTCGTTGCCCCGCCAGGCATGGCGAGGTCTAGCCAGGATCCCCACGGGACTTAGCTGCGCTGGACCCCCTGCGCAGCTCTGGAAAAGGGGGCGGCGGTTGCGCATGTCGCTGCCCCCCCAGCAATGGCGAGGTCCAGTCCGGATCCCCGCAGGGCCCCGGTTCACTGGACCCCCCCATTGGGCCCCACTGTGCCAGGGCTCGTCTCGACTCCTCCGATCCGATTCGATTCGATTTCGATGGCTTCCGATTCCGATTCGAGTCGACTTGGGATTCCGATTTGGGCTCCGATTCCTTAAAGGAGCCCTGCGAGCCTGCCGATTTCTGCCGATTCGACGTCTCCCGACTTGGCCGCCGATTTCTACCGATCCGATTCATTTCGATCGCCGATCCGACTTATCGATTCGATTCTGGGCTCTCTTGCCACTGTACTGGGTCCCCCTGCAGCTTTCGAGCGTGGCGACAGCTCTTCACGCTTCGCGGCTCCTCGGGCACATGGCGAGGTGCGGGGGAAGGTCGGAAGCAGTGTACCAGCGAGAAGGAGGGGCAGGGCGGATGGAGGCGGGAGAAGGTGGAAGCCAGCATGTTGTATTGAAAACAAGAACCCGAAAGTGGTCGTTTCCTGATTCATCGTTTTGCCGATCGGCGCGGGCCCTCGCACCCCCCCTCCCCCCTCCATGGAGCGGATCTTGGCTGCTTTGGCGACTGTTTTTCGAGCAGGTGGAGTCTTCCCCATGGGACGCACTGTTACAAACAGTCGCACCAAACAGAGGTCCGGAGCCAGACCCCCCTCCCTCCCTCCGCTTTCGCCCAATACCGAAACGAATAATTAGAAAACGTTCACAAAGCGGGCTGGGGAACAAGCATCGAATCTGCCCTCCATCCGCGTACGTGCTGCACATGTTCAGAAGTCTGGTGCTGCATGTTGAAAACCTTGCGGCCTCCGTCCCTGTGTTTGGTGGAGACTGTTGATGGTGAGTGCAGTGAAAACGAAAGTGCGCCGCGCTGCGGCGAGAATCGCATTTTCAAAACCTTGGGTCCCCCGTCTTCGCAACGATTGTGCAGTTTTCAGTCGGTTGAACTTGTCCAGGGAAACTGAAAGCGAAAAGGCTGGTCCAGCCCACGGACACGTCTGGTGGTGCGGCATGGGAGAGTTGTTCATAAGGTCAGGGGTAAGAGAAAAAGGAGGAGGAGGAGGAGGAGGAGGAGGAGGAGGAGGAGGAGGAGGAGGAGGAGGAGGAGGAGAAGGAATCTGATGAGTTGGAACGGGATAATTTACTTTTGGGTTTCTGACCTCTTTTTTCTGTCTCTCTCTCTCTCATCCTCGCTGTCTGTGTCTCTGTCCCAGTCTCTGTCTCCGACACTCTCTCTCCCTGTCTCCCTGTCTCTCTAGATCCAGGCGTGGCAGCACAGATAGTGAAGTCGGGCTTTGGGCCGCTTTCGGCTTCCAGGGGCCGTCGACGGTTTCCGGGACCTTCGGGCGAAACGGCTCGGGACGTGGCGCCCTCCGCGGGCAAGGGGGTCGGAGGGAGGGGGAGGAGGAGGAGGAGGAGGAGGAGGAGGAGGAGGAGGAGGAGGAGGGGGACGAGGGAGATGACGACCGCCGCCGACGACGACGACGACGAAAAAGACGACGACAACGCGACGACGACGAAAAGTCGACGACGACGACCTCCGGGAGACGATCCAGTTTTCGAAGGCACGAGCGGTCCAGGAGCGTCCGCTCCTGCTCCCCGTCCAGGAGGGGGAGGAGGGGGATGAGAGGAGGAGGAGGAGGAGGAGGAGGAGGAGGAGAGAGAGGATGAGCAAAATGATGAGGAGGAGGAGGAAGAGGAGGAAGAGAGAAGATGAGGAGGAGGAGGAAGAGGAGGAGGAGGAGGAGGAGGAGGAGGAGGAGGAGGAGCAGGAGGAGGAGGAGGAGGAGGAGGAGGAGGAGGAGGAGGAGGAGGAGGAGGAAGCGAACCAAGCTCGAGGCTGATATTTTCCTCCAGGCACGCGGTCGCAGGCGGCATGGCCAATTTGGCCCCAGCCTCGTCGAGCGAAGCTTCCTGGCGACAGCTTACCCAGGGCGGAGCTTGCAGTATGGCATAACGGAGTCCAGCTCCAACTTTGTATCGGCGGCGAGCGAGGGAGGGAAGTGAGAGGGAGAAGGCCTTCTCCGAAGGCGGCGGGACTTCTAATGACCCCTCGCGCCTTCTGATAAGTTTTCCGTGTCTTCGGGGAAGGCTTGGAACATTTCTTAGAAGGCTTGTGAATTTCCGATCCTTCTGAGATCGGGACTCGGGAGACGAGGGTCAATGCAGATGGGGGTCAGTCAGGGCAGTGGATCTTGCGGGATCGTGCAGGGCCAGGGTCGCATTGACCCGGGTTTGGGTGCAGGATCCTGCAGGATTTTTGCCGGATCCTTCGCATGGACCCGGGTTTGGGTGCAGGATCTTGCAGGACCGTGCAGGATTCTGCAAGGCCTGATTGACCCGGGTCTGCACTGACCCGGGCCAGAAGATCCCCGATGAGAGGGCCTTCTCCTTCTCACTCCCCCCCTCGCTCGACGCCAACTCCCAGCCCAGTGTCCCGCGCGCTTCTCTCTCGGGGTGTGTGGCCTGTTGCTTGCCTGGAAGGGCCGTTCACAGAGACTCCCTGCCGAACCTAGAGCCCCTGGCCCTGCCCCACCTCTACAGTTACGTCGGGCATGCCCATCTACAGGAGGAACACTCAAGAATAAGCACATCAATTGCCTGTTGACAATTTTTCGTGCTCGTTTTTTTTGCGTGACTGTTTTTCATGTTTCTTCCAACATCCACCTGTGGGAGGACATGCCCGACCTAACTCTACAGTCGGACCGAGGCTTAACATCGAGGTCGGTTCGGGGAGGGTGTCCTACTGTTCTTCGTGTTTGTTGGCTGTTCTTGTGCGTCCTGGGGGAGGGTACCCTCGACTGTTCTTCAGTTTGGGCTGGCGGAAGGTCCCATGTTCTTGACGGATGCTCTTCTGTCCCTGGTTCGACTGTCAGGGCCGCCTACGATTCGATGCGATGGGATTCGATTCGCCAGCTGGGGCCGCGATTCCGATTCGACTCGATGCGGTCCGTTTCACCAGCAGCGGCCGTTGCCAGCGGGAGCCTGGCGCGGCGATCTGGTTTCGATCCGACTCGGGACGATTCGCTGGCGGTCCGATTCGATTCGATTCGATTTCCGATCCGATTCGTTTTCCGATCCGATCCGATCTCTCGATTCGATGCAGCTCATGCCTGACGGTACGCCCCCCCCGCCCCCACCGAGGAGCAGCAGAGGCAACAGGCCGAGCAGCGCCAGGCCTACGAGGCCGAGATGCTGCGCAGACAGCACGAGGCGGCCGCCCTGGCACGGCCTCGTCGCCGCGGAGTCAGCTGCCGTGCTGCCCCTGCTCCTGGCTGGAAGTCGCAGGAGAGAAGCTTGTTTTTCGCCGGCGAGGCGAGGCGGGCCAAACGCTCCAGCGTGGCAGCGATGCAGGGCGCTGCGAAGCGAATGGGCCGGCGTGCCGGAGGAGGGGAAAGGAAGGGCAGGGCGGCCGCGGGGGGGGGGAGAGGAGGGCGAGCACTCAGAGGCGGAATACTGCCGCCACGAGCAGCTGGAGCGGCCCGCGGGCGGCGGGGAAACATGAACATGAACATGAACATATATTTTTGGCGCTCCGCGCGGATCTCTCGGATCCGCGCTGGGCCCACTCCTGGCGGCGCCTCCAGCGCCGCCCCTGGCGCGCTCCGCGCGCCCTGGAGGGGGGTACAGCGCAGATCCAAGAAATCCGCGCGGAGCGCCAAAAGTGCGCCCGGGAGGGGGCCACAGCGCAGATCCAAGAGATCCGCGCGGAGCGCCAACAGTTTATGTCTATGGCGTTTTTTCTTTAATCCTCGTCCCTCGCCAGCCCTCCTCGCTCTTCTCCCCCTCCCCCTCCCCCCTCGCCTTCCCCCTTCCCCCTCTCCCCCTCCCTCTCCCCTCTATTTATTGTGTTTTTTCTATGGTTGGAGGTGCCGTGCCGTGGATCCTGCCTCGGTCCTGGAGCGGCGATCCTGCACGACGTTACAGGGCCGCTCCCTTGCGACGAGGCAGGCTGCCGAGGTCTCTCTGGGCCCTCTCGGGGCCGTCTTTTGGGGCCATCTTGGGGGGCCGTCTTGGGGCTCTCCTGGGTTCAATCGGGCGTGTCCCTCTGCAAGGGGGACATCCAGAAACAGTAAAAGAAAAGCTGGGGGGCGATGTCCCGACTATTCTTGACTATTCTGGAACATTTTTTGACCATTCTCGATTCTTCGCCCCAAATCCGCCTGCAGGTAATCCTGGGGCCCTCTCGGGGAGCGCCGTCTGGAGCCCTCGTTGGGGGCTGTGCTGGGGCGGTCGTGGGGCGGTCTTCGGGAGCCTCCCAGAGCGTCGGTCCTGTGCGGAGCCTCGAGCTTCGAGCCTCGCCGTCGCCGTCGGCTTCGTCGTCGTCGTCGTCGTCGTCGCCGTCGTCGTCGTCCCCGTCGCCGTCGCCCTCGTCGTCGCCGCCGCCGTCGCCGTCGCCGTCGCCGTCGCCGTCGCCGTCGCCGTCGCCGTCGCCGTCGCCGTCGTCGTCGTCGTCGTCGTCGTCGTCGTCGTCGTCGTCGTCGTCGTCGTCGTCGAGGTCTGTGTCGTCGTCTGTGTCGGTGTCGTCTGAGTTGTCTGTGTCGTCTGTGCCGTCTGTGTCGTCGTCGTCGTCGGTCGTCGTCGTCGGTCGTCGTCGTCGTCGTCGTCGTCGTCGTCGTCTCGTCGTCGTCGTCGTCGTCGTCGTCGTCGTCGACGTTGTCGTCGTCGTCGTCGTAATTAGACGTCGTAGACGTCGTCGTCTTCGCCGTCGCCGTCGTCGCCGTCGTTTGTGTCGTCGTCGTGGTCGTCGCCGTCGTCGCCGTTGAGGTTCGAGGGGCGGCCACGGATCGAGGCAGGATCGAAGGTCGAGGTTTTTGGGGAGCCTCTTGGGGTATTCCCTCCAGGCTTCTCGTCATTCTGGCCAGGTCGCACTCCATGGCAGGTCTGTCGTCGTCGTCGTCGTCGTCGTCGTCGTGGTTGTGGTCGTCGTCGTCGTCGCCGTCGTCGTCGTCGTCGTCGTCGTCGTCGCCGTCGTCGTGGTCGTGGTCCCTGTCGTGGTCGTCGTCTTCGTGGTTGTCGCCGTCGTCGTCGTCGTCGTCGTCGTCGTCGTCGTCGTCGTCGTCGTCGTCGTCCTAGACGTCGTCGTCGCCGTCGCCGTCGCCGTTCAGGGCCCCCCTAGTCGCTACGACTGGATCCGCCTCGAGGTCCTGGTCGGAACGTCTTTGTCTCGAACATCGCCGTCTCGCCCCTCGTCATGAACGCTCCAGGAATGGTCCAGGGCCCGATTTTGACGTCGTCGTTCGGCGTCGACTTCAGAGCTTCCTGGCGACCTTCGTAAATCTACAACTCTTTAGGACGGGTCTTGGCTGCTGTCGGAGGCTCGTCGTTGTCGTCGTCGTCGTCGTTGCCGTCGCCGTCGCCGTCACCGTCGCGGTCGTCCGTCGTCCGTCGTCCGTTGTCGGTCGTCGTCCGCCCGTCCGTCGTCCGTCCGTCCGCCGTGCGTGTCATCGTTGTCGCTGCCGCCGCCGTCATCGTCGTCTTTGGTCGCCGCGGTCGTCCTGCATCCTTTCTCACTCGTCCTCGCCGGCATCGTCCATCATCCTTTATCCCTCGTCCTCCTTGTTGCCGGTCGGTCGTCGTCGAAGGGTTCGTACTGATGCCTCTCTGGTCGCCTGGAGCAGAGCCAGGGCGGCCTGTCTTTCCGGGATGGGCCCAGAGATGGTGGCAACACGCGCTTAACATTTGGACCCTCCAAGGTCCATGTGCGTCCCAGCAGTCCGGTCCCGTATCAATTCTTGACGCTTCGCGTATCCCCACCAGCCCAGTAGCTAATTAGGCCTGTTTCCGCGCCCCGGACAGCTTCTGACTCCGCCTGCACCTTCGCTCGCGGACGCGACCGAAAAAAGTATCCCCACCAGCTGCTGCGCCGCCCCTCTTGGCGCTGTCTTGCCCCCCCTGGCCACCGCCGCCCTACCGCCGACCACAGCCTGGTTGCGGCTTCTGGGCCCTCGCCCTCCGTCCCTGGCGCCCGGTGGTATCCGTGCTGGCTTCGAGGCAACCCTGGCGTCCCGGTGACTTGCACGTCGACCAGCCCCAGCTAGCATGCTTGCGTGTTCCTGGCCCCTGGTCTTCAGACACTGCCACAGCCTGGCCGTGTTTGCAGCTGCCGCTTGCAATGCTGGGATGCACCTCCACGTGGATGGCTCATGAGTTGTTTAGCCTTCTTGTTCAGCCATCTGTGGTTGCCACTGTTGGCATGCGACACAGGTGCGCTGGACTGCGTGCGCAGCCCCGCGCTATGCCGTGTTCTGCTCGGTGGCACGTTTACCTCTGGCGCCTGGCGCGACAAGGTACAATTCGTTTGTCTTCCTGGTGGTCTCGCCTCTGGGATGGTTGCACTTCGGCCGCCTGGCACACCTGGCAGCTCTTGCAGCCCGCCTGCAGCCCCCGTGCGCCGCTCGGCGTCTCTCGGCGGCAGCTTCGGCAGCCGTGAGTGCGCGCGCTAGGTAATTCGTGACGCTTCGCGTATCCCCACCAGCGAGGTGGCCGGTCGCGTTTCTGTTTTAGCCAATTAGCTTCGCCCATGGCCCGGACGTTGCCTTCGCCACATGACCGTTGCCTTGTGGCCGCGACCAAAAAAATATCCCCACCAGCCCATCCAGAAACGATCAGCAGGGGAGTTGGTGAATCAGGGGCGGCAGGACGCATGCAGTCGCGCAGCCGCCCTCGGGAAAACAGCGATCACAAATAGCTTCCTTCATTGAAGCTTAGGATGGGAGTCAGTGCAGACTACGATGGTGCGTCGATGAGGTGTGAGGGGTGTTTCGATGACTAGTAGTGGTTGTTGCGCTGATTTGTATTTTAAACTCGCATGAGTTTCGAAACTTGGAGCCATCTTGGGGCTCTCTTGAGGTTGTCTTGGGGCCCTCTTGGGGCCCTCCTGGAGCTCTTTCTTGGGGCTCTCTTGAGGTCCTCTGGGGGCCTTCTTGGAGCCCTCTTGGGGCTCTTTTGGGGCGTCTTGGGGCCCTCTTGGGGCCCTTTGGGGGGGTCTGGAAGGCCTTTTTGGGGCTCTTTTGGGATGCCAGAGGGGCCTCTTGGGGCCGTCTTGGACACTTTCGCTAAAACAGAGGGGGTTCGTCAATTCGGACCCCCGCATCGGAGGCTCAAAAGTGCCGTCCTGGGGCCCTCTTGGCCCGCTCTTGGAGCGCTCTTGGGCGCTCTTGGGGCCGTCTTGGGGCCCTTTTGGGCCCCTCTTGGGGCCATCTTGGACCATCTTGGGGCCATCTTGAAGCTTCAAGAGCCCATCGGAGTTGAAAAAGCGACAAGGCAAACAACAAAGGATGTTGGCCTCTTGGGGGGTCCTCGGAGGCTTCGGACAGCACTTGAAACCGTTTTGGGGCCGTCTTGAGGCCCCTTGGACGTGTGTCGGAGGCTATCTTGACCCATCAACCGCTATCTTGGGCCATCTTGGAGGCCATCTTGCGCTCTCAGAGGCCCTCTTGGAACCATCTTGGGCCACTTTGGACGCTGCTATGGGTCGGGCCCCCCCCGTCCAAACGCATGGAGGCGGGGGAGGTAAACCTCCAAAGCAGGGAAGGGAAGGAGGTTGGAAAAGGAAACGCCCTAGACCACCTGCGCCCAGAGGGCTGGTGGGATCAGGTTTCGCTCGTAGCCCGGGCTGACTTCGGACGCCGCCTGCGCCTTCGCTTGCGGCCGCGACCAAAAATCCCCACCAGCCAAACGATGCCCAGGCGAGTTGCGTTGATCAGGGAAGTGAGGGAGCATGTAGTGAAACAGAGGGGGGCAGCCGTCAGATCGTCAGGTCCGATCAGGCCCATGGGTCAACCATAAGTGCCTTCGCGGATCGTTCCATGTATGAGCCTCTCGGCAGCTTGCCGAGGGGCATTTTTGGGCCCTGTTGGGGCTATTTGGGATGTCTTTGGGGTCCTGTTGAGCCCGCTTGGAGCTCTCTGGGGACCCTCTTGGGAGCCTTGGGGCCCTCTTGGGGCCAGCTTGGCGGACACCGATCAAAGAAGGGGTCCCCCCGCCCCCCTGGAGCCTCCAAAATTGCCTCTTGGGGCCTCTTGGTGCGCTCTTGTGGCGCTCTTAGGCTCTCTGGAGGCCGTCTTGGGGCCATCCCTGTGGCCACTTGAGGCGATCATGGGAGGATCTCGGGGGCTCTTGGAGCATGTTGGAGGCCATCTTAAGAGATCTTGTGTTTTCGTTTTCCATCTTGACGGTCATCTTTGACTTTCTTGGGCCATCTTGTAGCCAGCTTGGAGCCACCTTCCACTCCCCGCGAACCCGCACCGTCCAGACGCAGGGGCAAGGGGGTAGGGGGAGAGGTAGGTATCCCCCCCGATTGGGAGGACAGGGGTTGGGAGAGGAAATGCTCTACGCCACTTACGCCCGACAGGGCTGATGGGGATCCGACCGGCCCGATCCGATTCGTTTCCGATGTTCCGTCGATCCGATGCGCCCCGAGGCTTGCATGGTGCCGTTGCGCATCCTGGCGCGGCCGATCCGACTCGATTCCGACTCCGCGCCGATGCGGCCCGATGTGACGCACGGTCCGATCCGATCCGATGCCCCGATGCGCCGCGGACTGGTCCTGCCCCCAGAGCTCTCCTGGGGTTTCGCCTGGCCCCCCTCTCCTTTGCATGATTTGCCCAAGATCCCTCCCCTCTCTCCTTTGCATGAGTTTGCCTGTGACGTCGGCCCCTCGGGCTTCGGCAGGTTCTGTTCCCCGGGGGCCGAATTTTCATCCCCCGAACCTCGACGCCCGAACCTCGATCTCTCGTTGATCTAGTCCTTCCAGACTGGGTCGGGGCAGATGGGGTCGGATCATCGCGCCGCATTGCCGATGCATCGGCGATGCGGCTCGATGTGGAGCCCGATTTTCTCAACGCCGACGGTACCAATGCGTCGCCGACGTCGGCGACGCGTCGGCGACGCATCGTCGATGCATCGGCGATGCGGCGCGATCCTCCGACCCCATCTACTCCGACCCCATCTCAAAGGCCCAGAGAAAGCCTCCGCAAACCTCTGAAAACCTACAGCACTTGGAAAGCCGCCGCACCCTCCCGAAAACCTACAGACAGCATACGAGCACTCTCGAGACCCGAGAGAGGCAGTCGGAAACATTCGAAAACCACAGGAACACCACTCGAACACCCAGAGAAAGACATCCGACCCCGTCTGGGAGGCCTCCAGCTGGGCGCCGCCGCCGCTGGGTACGGTCCGCGGCCCGCGGCGGAGGCTTGTGGCGCGGCCCCGACGTGGTATCCTGGATCGGCGTGTCGTCGGCGCCGGCAAGAGGCCCGCTGCAGGCCACGCGCGCGGTGCTGCACCGAGCACGTGCCGCTACTCACAGAGTGCCCACTCGCAAACGTCCGGTGTCTTCCTCCGTGTCATGGATCGCACATCCTTCGTGGCGGATCCGGGCCATTGGCGAGTAGTCACTGTGCGAGTCGTGCAGCGCGCCTGTCTAGAGCTGCTGGAGGCTTGGGCGCGCTGCGAGGCTCGCCTGCGCGGCTCTGCTCTCCGCCCCGCCCGCCCGCTGGAGGGAGGAGCAGGAGGAGGAGGAGGAGGAGGAGGGGGAAGAGGAGGAGGAGGAGGAGGTGGAGGAGGAGGAGGAGGAGGAGGAGAAGGGGGAGGAGGAGGAGGAGGGGGGAGGAGGAGGGAGGGGAGGAGGAGGAGGAGGATAGGATGATGATGAATGATGATGAATGATGATGAATTATGATGATGAATGATGATGATGATGATGAGATGGTGGTGGTGGTGGTGGTGGTGGTGGTGGGGTGGTGGAGGTGAGGATGGAGGAGGAGGAGGAGGAGGAGAGGAGGAGGAGGAGGAGGAGGAGGAGGCGGAGGAGGAGGAGGAGGAGGAGGAGGAGGAGGAGGAGGAGGAGGAGGAGGAGGAGGAGGAGGAGGAGGAGGGTCAGGCTGCCAGGCCTTGGCCCCGCCCACGCCCGCGGCCAGGCGGCGGACAGCCAGAGGAAGGCGGAGGAGCAGAGGCGCCGGGTGCTCGGCGACGCGCGCGTGCCCGGGCCCTTCGACGCCGACGCCGACGCCGCCGACGCCGACAGTGACGACGATCGACGCCGACGACGACGCCGACGACGACGACGCCGACGGTGACGACTACGCCGGCGACGCCGACGACGCCGACGACGACGCCGACGACGACGCCGACGACGACGCCGACGACGACGACGATGCCGACGACGACGCCGACGACGCCGACGACGCCGATGCCGACGCAGTCGCCGACGCTGACGACGCCGACGCCGACGCCGATCATTATTTTTCTTCTTCTTATTGCTATTCGTATCTTCAGGATTCTTTCCCTTACGATCATTATTATAATTACTATTGTTGTTATGATTGATAGTACCATCAGCAGTGTTATCATCAGTACGAATTATTATTGTCATATTATTATTATTATTATCATTATTATTATTACCGCGATTCCTACCAATCTTATTATGATGGGGGTGGTGGCGATGAGGAGGATCGGGGATGTAGGGGGCGAGCGGGGAGGAGGAGGAGGGGGAATGGCAGGGGGATCATGAAGCGAGAGGAGGAGGAGGGAGGGAACAGGGACAAAAGGGCGAGTCTCTGGGAACAAGGGATGGCTCTGGGGGAAATTTGATGGTTCTCCGGGTAATGGTGGCCCCATGGCGACGTGGATGGTTCTCTGGGTGGGACCCTTTCAGGTTTTCTGCCCCTCATCATAAATCACAGAAATCCCTACGCCCCAAGCCCAAACCAAACACCAAGGCCCACACTCAGCACACCAAGCACCAAACACCAAGCACCGAACACCAAACACCGAACACCAACCATCAATCTCAAAACACCAACAACCAAACCCCAAATGTCAAGCCCCAGAAACCACATTCCAATCACCAAGTACCAAAGGGTCGCCGTCTTCGGCATCTGGGGGCCAGTTTCGGGCTCTGGGACAATCTAGAAATGACCCCGGATGAAAGCTGGCCCTGGAGAAAGGGTCGGGACTTCTGGGGACCCCTGTAGATATTGAACACAGCAAATCGGACATCTCTGCATGGTCGTGCTCCTTGCACACATCAGCCCTCAGACCTCTCCAGGGGTTCCGCCTGGCCTTCAGGTCTCTCCTGCAGGGTCCGTTTCGATCCAGCGATCTGACTCGACCTAGACTTCGGCCGGCCCGATCCAGCTCGATTTCAATATTCACACGATCCGATTCGGCCCGATGTTCGGATGGCGCTGTTGAGCATCCTGGTGCGGCCGATCTGATTCGATCCCGACGCCGTGCCGATGCGGCCCGATCCGGCGCAATCTCCGATCCGATCTGATTTCCCGAGTCTCAAGCAATGGCAAAGCGTCCTGGCGTGCCTGGAGCCCTACCAGAGAATGTTCTAAGAACCTTTTTGTGGTTCCCACGAGATGTTCTTATAACATTTCTGGCGGGGAGTGTCTTGTTTTATCACATCGGGTTGATGTTCTAAGAACATTGTTCTGTTCTTAGGACATTTCTGGGTTCTAAGAACATGCCGTGGTGGGACTATGGGAGTGCCGGGACGGTCGGTCCCTGCTCAAGAGTCGATGCTGACTGACGTGTCCCCAGTCCTCCCGGGTTTCGCCTTGGGACTCAGGCTCGGGGGTGGACAGAACCCCCAACAGTGACACGTCGATTAGTGACTTGTCCGTTTTCGGTTCTCGAGAGGGCGCCGTGGCCGTTATTCTCCAGACTTGCGCCCGCCAGGTTTGGGCCTCAGATCGTTTTCACTAAACCATGTTTTACTAAAGTGGGTCTGTCCATCCCCGACAGGCCTCTCCCAGGGTGCCGTGGCCACGAGGGCGCTCCAGGAGGCCCGAGAGAAGAGGCCCCCGGGCGCGCCCAAGACCCTCGACCCTCGATCGACCGTCGGTCCGCCTTGTCCCGAAGAAAAAAAGGCATGAACACAGACTTCAGTCGGGCCCGTCCCTCTGCAGGAGGAAACTGCAAACATTGTAAAAAGACGTCAGGGGACGATTTTTCTATCATTTATGGACTATTTTAAATATGTTTTGAGTCTTTTTTATCTTTCGTCCAAAATCCCTCTGTAGAGGACGTGCCCGACCTAACCCTGGTGGCGCCTCTGGCTCTTCCTGAGCGCCAGGGGAGGGGAGTCCAGCGCCGCCCCAGGAGCAATCCGCGCGGGACTCCGGAAGTTTTGCGCTCATGATGGGCCGATTCTCCACCACCACTACCAATAGCTAGGAGGGGACGGAGTCGGAGGAGTCGGAGGAGGAGGAGGAGTCGGAGTAGGAGGAGTCGGAGGAGTCGGAGGAGGACCTCCCCATCCTCCTTTCCCCCCCGTCCTGCCTGTCGTAGTGGTGGTGGAACATCGGCCCATCAGCTCACGCGGCTATCCTTCTCTTGTGTGTCCTCCTCCTCGGGGAGGCCGGGAGTCCGCGGAAGGCAGGGGGAGGATGAGCTTTTGTTCCGCCGTCGTCGCCAGGAGGCTGGACGAGCAGCGCCGCGTGCAGCAGGAGACCCAGGCTCGCCACCCAGGGGCGGCGCAGGGGCGGATTTGGGGCAGGTCGAAGGAGACAGCTCTACATAATACGTTTGCTTCGAGGGATCCCCACCGAAGCCCTCCTTTTTTGCTCCCGAGTCTGGTACTGTTCGTGCTTGTGGTCAGCCTGAGCTCGGCGCGCAGAATATCACGTTTGGTAAGGCGCCACTATTCGGTCGCTGTTGCATTCTACTCCATCACGGTCTGTTCTGTTCTGTTCAGTTCTGTGCACATCTTGTCTGTTCTGTTCTGCTCTCGACGGGGCGGCGTGACGTCTACTCGGTCGTTGCTGCGCCTTTCGTTGTCCAGTATTGTGCTATATTATGTTCGCTCGGATTCCGACCCAATGTAGTACATTACATTGTGTTACGTCATGTTCTGTTCTGGATGGGCCGGCGTGACGTCGTGAAGCCTGTCGCGCTTGATATTCTGTCTGATCAGTCGTTGCTGCTGCTGTTTGTTTCTGTGGCCAGCGTGGGTTCAGCGCGTATATCGCGTTAGATGAGACGGCATTGTTCGGTCGTTGCTACATTCTAGTCTATGATGGTTTGTTCGGCTCTGGTCTGTTCTATGCACATCTGGTTTCTGCTGATCTGCTCTCGACGGGGCTGCGTGACGTCGTGACGCCTCTCACTTCTAATATGTCGTCTAATTGGTCGTTGCTGCGCCTGTTCTAGTCTTGTGGCCAGCATTGTCTGCGCGTATGCTGCGGTTGCCAGGTCGCAACTAATCTGTCGTTGCTGCGCTTAATAGTATTCAGCTGTGGGGTACTACACCATGGTCCAGCATGTCATGCTGTATTATGTTTCGTTGTTTTCTCCACGGGCCGGCGTGACGTCGTGACGCCCATCACGTTGGATACGTCGTCCATTCGGTCGTTGTTGCGCCTGTCAGTCCCTGTGGCCATCGTGGGTTTGGCGCGCACGTCCCGTTTGATTCCATAAAGGAGCGGCCGATTCTGTTATGATGTCCCTCTTCGGTGGTGGTCCAATCGGATGCTGGCGTATAACCTATGTTGCTCAGCTCTGTCAGAAAATGCAGTGACAGGTTATGTTATGCTCGTGTGCCATGCTCTGTTCTGTAGTGCTGCTTACGCCATTATATGATCGTTGTGCTATGATATGCTCTGTTTAGGCTGTGGCATACCGCTTCAAGGATGTAATAGTTTATGTTGTTCTATCAGAGGCGCTGTCGAAGTGGTAGCAGTCGTACAACAATTAGGTCAGGCTATGCTCGGTACTTTAAGCCATTTTGTTGTGTCATGTTCTGTTTTGTTATGTCATGACGTTCCTCTCAACTCTCAACAGTTAAACAGTTTATGATTTTCGGGTGCATTCGTTGCCGTCGTGCCAGCAATCGTACAGCTATTCTGGCCTGTGTTTCCAGGAACTGTTGTGCGATACTATATCATGTTCCCTTTCTGTCATGCAATGCTTTGCTATGTTATGTGATGCTCGATGCGGTGTTATACAATGGTAGATTATGTCATGCCATGTTGTGTCATGGTATGGCATGCTTTTCTACTAAACCAGGATTCCTTTTTGTATGACATGCCATGATCTGCCGCGCAATGTTCGGTTTTCCGTTATCATGCTGTAAAGCACGTTTCTCCGTTGTCATGCTATGCCATATTTCTGTTTTATGACGCTGCTTTTTTTATTAACGAAATGTTCTGACATACGATGCTATGCTACGCCATTCTATGCTATCTGTCACGGTCTGCACTTTTATGGTGCACTGTGTGATGTGATTGAATGTTCTACCTGCCTCGCTCTTTCGTTACACGATTTGTTGTGATCTGGTCTACCATGTTGTGTTGGTGTATGTTACGTTCATGTTTCTGACATGTTATGTCATGCCATTTTCTGCTTTGCTCTATACTGTTAGGTGTATTCTGTCATGCTCACAGGGGAGGTGGTCTCGGGGATCCTCGGTGGACTGGGGATCTGGCTGCCGCGTTATGAAGAGTGGACGAAGACGAGCAGGATGGTGGTGAGTGAGGAGGATGAGGAGGGAAATCAGGAGCGGTAGGAGGATGAGGAGGATGAGAAGGAGTGCTCATAGTCGTGGCCTGGCTTCCTCACCGCCTTTCCGTTCATCTCTGCCCTCCTCCCTCTCTTCGCGCCATCTTGAGCAGCGAATTGCGGCGACTTTTCCGTGATACCTGCTGATGGTCACATCATTCTGATTTTCCAGCGGGAGGAGTGATTCTTACAGGGCTTCTGCCTGTGGGGGTGTTCTCGTAGAAATTGGCGGCGCGCACAAGACGGTGGCGCGCAGGGGGCAGTTTTCGAAAGAGGCAGAGGGGGGCTGGGTTCGAAGACTGCAGGTGGCTTTTAGAACCCCCGGTTTCTAAGAAGGCCTTCTCGGAAGCATCCGGTCATTGTCGTTTGACCGATCCCCATGCCCATCCCCATCTCGACCCCATCTTCCTACCGCCCCAGTTGGGGATATAATTGCCCCTCAAGAACCAAGAGGAGGAACAGCCTGTATCCACATTTAGGGGTGGCTTAATCGGCTGGTGGGCCCAGGCCAAACCAGTGGGAATGGGGATCGGGTCAACGAAGATGGGTTCATCTTCCAATACCACTACCATAGGTAGAGTAGTGAGGAGAAGGAGGAGGAGTAGGAGAGGGAGAAGGAGGAGGAGCAGGAGGAGGAGGAGGAGGAGGAGGAGGAGGAGAAGGAGGAGGAGGAGGAGGAGGAGGACCTCCTCACCCTCCCTTCTCCCCCGTCTTACATGTGCTGGTGGTGGTGGAAGAGCTGCCCAGCGAACGATATGCTCAGGTCCAGGCCCACCTCTGAGGGCCCCGCGCCGTCCTCTCTGAGAGGCCTCCCGTCCGCTCCGAGAGGCGGGCCGCCCCCCCCCCGCCGTGGCCCCAGGCTTGTGGAGGACGATCCATGGAGCGGAAGCGTGTCGAATAATCTCCAGATGTCTGAGACATGCAAACAACATGTTTTAGAACATCCCGATGTCTAAAACACGTCAATCACTTCCCGATGTCTAAATCATGTTTTGGACATGCTTTAGACGTGCAAGCCACATGCTGTAAACATGTTTGTAACATTTTCCCACAGTGTAAACATATTCTAAATTCAATGATAGGACTGTTACAGTCGGGGCCCTGAAGAAGGAACCCTTTTGGTTGGGGAGGGGCTCCGCGTTCCTTAAGTGTTTCACAGCTTGCCTCAGGTTTTCCTTATGTTTTCGATCGGAAATCGAGGTTCAACGTCTGGAGAAAAGGGGCCTCGTTCCTTATTTAGGGTTCCTTAGGTCAACGCCCCGACTGTAAACATGTTCTAAATTCAATGATAGGACTGTTAGGCTGCCCACTGTCGTGGCATCCACCACCCCAGACCCCCGCGCGCGCCACCGGGGAGCAGCAGCCTGGAGGGTCCTGCGCTGCCCGGGTGGCGTCGGTGCCTTCCTCACTGCCTCGCTCTCTTCGCCTCCGCCTCGCCTCCCCGCCCAGAGGTTCGGAGGAGGAAAAGGCACCCATACCGCTATACCCTTCCCTCGTTTTCCCCCTTTTTTGGTCCTCCTGGGGGGCCCTCGTCGCTACCGCCAGATTCGCCTCGAAATCCTGGTCAGAACGCGCCCTGGGAGATGTCCGGGAAGTGGCGGTATCCGTATCTTTTGGTCTCCCCAGAGATCTGGCGGCGCGAGAGAAAAGCGCAGCTTCGTGAGGAATCACTGCGCCAAAACGCCAGACCCATCCTTCCGGCGGCAGTTCTTCAGCCTGATCGATCCATGAGGGCCTTGGTTCCGAATGTGGGCGGAAACGATTGTCCTGACAAAGCATCGAGACGCCCAGTGGCTCGATCCTTCGATCTGTTTTTTGGCTATTTCTTGCTCTCGCTGATGGAATAGGCTCGAGGAGTTGCCGCAGAAAAGTCGGGTCTGCGGGTCCAGTTTTGATTATTCGCGGTGTTGCATGTGTGGCGACGTCGGATCCCCGCCGGTTGTCGGCCCGCCGCCGCTGGCTCCCCCCCCCTGGCGCCGCCCTTGCTACGCGCCTGGCCCTGCTGTGAGCGGGCTCAGCGTCTCCCTCCTCCTCCTCCTCCTCCTCCTCCTCCTCCTGCATGGTGGCCAAATTCGCGTTCCGTGCACCACACCACGCTTCTTTCGCCAGCGTAGTGACTCTGCCAAGCCGCCGACGTAAAACATTTGTGGCGACGTCGGGTCTCGGGTTTTGTGGCCGCCGTCGTGATCGTAGTCGTCGTCCTCGTCGCCGGCGGCGGCAGTTGCGCCCTGTATCCGCGCCATTGGGCCGCCGTCGCGGTCGCGCCGCAGCCGCCACAGCGGCCGCTGCCGCCGCCGTCGTCGTGGTCGTGGCGGCCCCCTTCCTCCGAAGAAGGAAAAACGCCATAAACGTACACTTTTGGCGCTCCGCGCGGAGTTCTTGGATTCGCGCTGGGCCCCCCCTTGCGGCGCCTCCGTCGCCGCCCCTGGCGCGTTCCCTGCGCCAGGGAGGAGGGCCCAGCGCAGATCCGAGAACAACTCGCGGAGCGCCACAAGTTTGTGTTTATGCCTTTTTTTGTTTGTTTGTTTTGTTTTTTTCCCCCCTCCGAAGCGAGGACAAAACCACCTGGACCCGACCATTTACGTTTCCTGAAAAAGGCCTGGGGCGTTTACACTAAACCGCCCTGCCCTGCTCTAGTCCTTCCTTTTGGGTGCGTTTGCCGAACGTCTTCGTTTGCAGGGGTGATTATTCAGGGGGTGGATTTTCTACCCTCCTCTTCCTCCTCCTCCTCCTCCTCCTCCTCCTCCTCCTCCTCCTCCCCCTCCACCTTTTGAATCCTGGAACAATTTTATTCGTAGGGCTACCCACGCCGCGTGAGACCTGGCGACGCGCGCACATGTGGAGGAATGGGTTGCACTATCCACAAACGTAAATGGAGATGGGCTGGGCGAGTTGCTACACAACCACACCACAGTTGGGCCCGACTGGCGGCGGCATGGGAACCTGATGTTCATGACCCCCGGGCAGCACGACGCCGACACGGCGGGCAACGAAAACGGTGGAGTGACGACATCACAGAATTTCGACAGAAGGCTTTTGTTGGAAGCGCACCCGGCACATGGCTACAAGGTGTTACAATCTGCACGAACGACATGGGTACGGAAAGAATGGTACAATGCCCAACAACAGTTCCTTTTCATTTAGAACACGACTCGCTGCCCGCGCCGCCGCGGCCGGTGTCCATTTGAGACAGAATGCCGCCTGCCCAGCAGCGGCCGCTATCGGTTCGGGACAACATTTGTTGTTGGGCATTGTGACCATTTTTCCGTACCCATTCCGGGCGTCCAAATACACTTTCCAAATATTGGGCAGACCTCGGAGGCGATTTCTTGAAGTTCGCATGCCTGTGACTAGGTTCCGGCCCGCCCGCGCCACCCCTAAAGGGCCTGCCGGCCCGCCGGCCCGCGGACTCGCGCGTCTACGTCTGCGTCTGCGTCCTCCTCCTCCTCCTCGTCCTCCCTTTCCTCCTCTTCCTCCTCCTCCTCCTCCTCCTCCTCCTCCTCCCTTTCCTCCCTTTCCTCCTCCTCCTCCTCCTCCTCCTCCTCCTCCTTCTCGTCTCCTCCTCCCCTCCCTCCTCCCCCTCCTCCTCCTCCTCCTCCTCCTCCTCCCCTCCTCCTCCTCTTGGCGCACACTCCAAGTCCCCAAGTCCGCACATGACGACCCCCCCCCCTTCCTCCTCCTCCTCCTCCTCCTCCTCTCCCCTTCCTCCTCCTCGTCCTTCCCTTCCTCCTCCCACTTCCTCCCCTCTCCTCCTCCTTCCTCCTCCTCCCCCTCCTCCTCCTCCTCCACCCTTTCCCCCTTCCTCCTCCTCCTCCTCCTCCTCCTCCTCCTCCACCCTTTTCCCCCTTCGCCTCCTCCTCCTCCTCCTCCTCCTCCTCCTCCTCCCCCTTCCCCCCTTCTCCTCCTCCGCCTCCTCCTCCTCCTCCTCGCCTCCCTTTCCCTTTCCTCCTCTTTCCTTCTCCTCCACCTCCTCCTCCGCCTCCTCTTCCTCCTCCGCCTCGGAGCCGCCGCCTCCGTGGGCGGGGGCCCGCCGCCGCTGCGGGCGGCCGCCGAGCGCCGCGCGCCGCGGCCGCCGCGCGGGCGGCGCAGCGAGGCCATCTGGGCGGCGGGCGCCCGGGGCCGCCGCGGGCGGGGCGCCGCCCGCGGGCCGCTGCGGGCGCCGAGCCCCGCCGCGCCCCGCCCCCGCCCCCCCCGCCCCCCGAGGAGAGGAGGAGTAGGAGGAGGAGGAGGAGGAGGAGGAGGAGGAGAGAGGAGGACGAGGAGGAGGAGGAGGAGGAGGAGGAGGAGGAGGAGGAGGAGGAGCAGGTGGAGGAGCGGCCCGCGTCTCTCCTCGCCCTCGGACTCGCGGGGGCCGTCTCCCTGCTTTCGCGAGGAGCAGCGGGTTGCATGCGAAGGAGAAACTTTTGGCGCTCCGCGGTGAGTGCTCGGATCCGCGCTGGGTCCCCCCCTGGCGGCGCCTCTGGCGCCGCCCCAGGCGCGCTCCGCGTGCCTGGGAGGGGGCTCCGGCGCGGATGCAATCAAGCAGTTGCGAAGCGTCTCAGCTCGCCTATAGACCCACGAAAGAATGTTCTAAGAACCTTTTGTGGTCTGCGCGAAATGTTTTTAGTACATTTCTGGCTGGGATCGTCTTGTTTGAACACATCGGTTTATGTTCTAGGAGCATTGCTTGTGTTCTTCGAGTACCTTTGGGTTCTAATGACATTTCGTGGTAGGCCTATAGGAATGCTGGGACGGTCGGTCCCTGCTCAATCCAAGAAATTCGCGCGGACCGCCAACAAATTATGTTTATGCCGTTTTTTCTTCTTGTATGCGTGATCGTGGACTTCAGAGCTCCGTCGGAGCTCCGCGCTGATTTCCTGGATCGTCGCTTGGCCCCCCTCCCGTGTCCTGATCTTCGATGTCCTGGGGTCGTCAGAGAATGCTCAGCATGGAAATCTGGTTCCAGGGAAGCGATCGAAATCATGGGGGGGGGCGGGACGTCACGAGCAGATTTGAACGCCGGAGGAGATGGGAACTACCCCAACCCCGATCGGGACAGGGCAGATCAGCTCTCCCAGCATGCCCCCTCTCGCTGGGCCCAGGCATGGGTGCTGCAACAAGAAATAAATAAGACGGCGCCCATCATCTCCAGGGGGTGATAATTCGGTTGGCAATTGGGGCCACGGTCTCCCCAGTGGGGGTGGGTGTGCTTGTACTTTTGCAGGCTCGCGCCGTCGCTGTCGTCTGCAATCAGTCCCTCCGGGAGGGGGGGGTGAGGTCGAGGGTCGAGGGTCGATGATCGATAGTCGAGGTAGTCTTTCTTTGTGTAACAGAGGTTGCGACCCCGATTAGGGGTCTTCTTTCTCCCAAGTTAGCCCACATCAGTTCTGAGCAATGCAAATCAACGCGTTGCAAAACAAGTTATTTGGCATACTTGCTTGGCTTGGCTTGGCTTGGCTTGGCTTAGAGCTTGGAGTGGTATCTAGGTATGTCTTTACACACTTTGGCATCATTTGGCATTACTTGGCATTGCTGTGCATTACTTGGCGTTGCATGGCATTGTCAGGCACTGCTTGGCACTGATTGGCAGTGCTTGGCCTTTACTTGGCGCTGCCTGGAACCGTTGCTTAGCACTGCTTGGCATTGCTTGGTATTGCTTCACACTGCTTGTAATCGTTGCTAGCCTTTTCTTGGCATTGCGTAGCATTGTCAGGCATTGCTCATCATTCTTGTGCATATCTTGGCAGTTGTCTGCATGACATGACACCGCTTGTCATTGCTTGACGTTGATTGGCATTGCTTGGCATTGGCTTGGCATTGCTCGGCATTGGTTTGGCATTGCCTGGCACTGCTTGGCAGTGGCCTGGCATTGCCTGGCATTGCTTGGCATTGGCTGGCATTGCCTGGCATTGCTTGGCATTGGCTGGCATTGCTTAGCGTTGCTTAGCGGTGCTCGGAATCGTTACTATCCATTGCTTGAATGTGTTGCTTGGTATTGCTTTACATATCTTGGCATTTTTTTGCGCTGCTTGACATTGCGTTTCATTCCCGCACTTTCTTTAGCGTCGTTGTGCATTGTTTTGCATTGCTTGCCAGTGTTTGTCATTGATTGGCATTGATTTGCGTTGCTTCGCACGGTTTTTGCTTGGCTTTGTGTTGGCATTGGCGTCGCATTGCTTGTCACTGCTTGGCATTGTTGTGCATTTTATGTCAGTGCTTCGGATTGCCTTGAATTGCTAATCGTTGCTTTGGGTTGCTTGGCATTGTGTAGGAGTGCTGCTTGGCATTGCCTGGCATTGATTTGCAATGGCCTGACAATGCTTGCCATTGCTTTGTTTTGATGGGCCTTGCTCGGCCTTGTTTGGCACCCCCGGGTCACTCCAGGGAAACCCGAGCAACCCCGAGCAACCGCCAGCAGCCACGGGGAACGACTTCATCGGAAGACCCCGTACCCACTAGTGTTGCTTCTCAGCAAGTAATTCACTGCCCACCAAAGCACCCCAACCCAACCCGAAGGCCTCAATTTGCGCTCCATTTCCAGTGGGGGGGGGGTTGGGGAACAAGGAAAAAACACATGGAACCCGTACCCCCCCCCAACTCGAGATTTGGGTCAAAGTCGGGTCTTCGGGTTGGGTTGGGGTTGTCTGGTAGCTAGTCATTTGTTTCTCAGCAAGTAATCTGGCCTTAGGCAAATGTCTTCTTTGGGGATGCCGTGAACAAACAGTTGTCGGAGGCTTGGGCCTGTCGTCCGCAAGCTTGGGGATCGATGTTCGAGGCTCGGGCGTTGAGCTTTTCGGATAGTTGTGCGCCTGTTTGTACCTTGTTGTTGTTACGGTGTGCTTCTCTTTTTGTAGTAGTTGTCATCGAAACGCCCCCCCAGGAGAGGACCCGAGGGTTGATCTGTGAGAGGCGGTCGTCGTCTGTCCGCCGCCATGAAGGAAGGGTGCCCTCGAGGACGGAATCCTGTGTTCTTTTGCCAGTTTTCGGGCTCCCGAACTCTACCTGGGCCCCGGAACCGGGCAGCAGCTATTTAGAATGACGTCCTGGTCATGGGGAAAGCCCAGGGTCTAGGACCCGCTTCGACTAGGATCTGTGTTCCTCATGCACCTTCGTCGTTGCTGCTGCTGCTGCTGTCGCCGTCCTCGCCGCCGCCGCCGCCGCCGCCGTCGTCGTCGTCATCGTCGTCGTCGTCGTCGTCGTCGTCGGCGCCGTCGTCGTCGTTGTCGTCGTCGTCGTCGTTTTTTTTTGTTCCATCGTAGTTAGTTGTCATCGGCCTCATCTTTGTTGCCATCGCCGTAATCGTCGTCGTTGATTTCGTCGTCGCAGTCGTTGCCGACGAGAGCGGCAACGACGGTCGCCGCCTGTCGCCGACAGCGACAGCGACAGCGAAGTCGTCGTAGTCACTGTCGTCGTTGCTGCTACCTGGTCGATGTCGCCTGCATTGGAATGGGGTCAGGGAGACGGAGGAGGAGGAGGAGGAGGAGGAGGAGGAGGAGGAGGAGGAGGAGGAGGAGGAGGAGGGAGGAGGAGGAGGAGGAGGCGGAGGAGGAGGAGGAAGGAATGATGGTAGGATAGCGGGATGGAGGAAGGGACTAAGAAGGAGGGGGATGACCAGCTAAGGGAGGATACGGGGTGCGAAGGAGTGGAGCAGGATAGGAGCAGGAGTAGGAGGCGGAGGAAGAAATTAATGCAAACACTCCTTGGGCAACAACACAAGCAGAGCATGAGGAACGGGGCAACCAAATCATACTCGCTCTTGTCCAGCGCCGAGTCATATGCACAGTTTATCGCGCAAGCACAAAGCATATCAATCATAATGCGAGGGATATCGCAACGAAACGCATCTGACTGTAATCATAGCCCTTCCTGCCTCCTTCCCCAAGCCTTCCCGTCAACTTCCCCCGTCCCCCTCCCCATCATCGCCTGCCCCGAGGCCTCCCTCGGATGCGGAAAGGGGCGGAGGGAGATTATCGCCGCCGTCGCCGCCGCCGCCGTCGTCGCCTGCTGTCGCCGTCGCCTGCCGCTGCCGTCGTCGTCGTCGTCGTCGTCGTCGTCGTCGTCGTCGTCGTCGTCGTCGTCGTCGTCCGTGTCGCCTGCAGCCGCCGTCGTCGTCGCCGTCGTCGTCGTCGTCGCCGCCGCCGCCGCCGCAGCCGCCGCCGTCTGCCATGGCCGCCTTCTGCCGTTCTTTCCCCGGGCGCGTGGCCGCCCACCACAGGGCTCGGGGCTGCTGGCGCCTTGAACAGCGTCGGCCAGGCGGGGCCGTCGGCACGCGCCGACCCGCCCGCGACGACGCGCCCGCCGCCGTGGAGGGCGGTCGAGGACGTAGGATCGAGGAGGAGGAGGAGGAGGAGGAGGAGGAGGAGGAGGAGGATGTAGGATGTAGGATGTAGGATGTAGGATGTAGGATGTAGGATGTAGGATCGAGGATCGAGGAGAGGAGAAGGAGGAGGACGAGGAGGACGAGAAGGAGGAGGAGGAGGAAGAGGAGGAGGAGGAGGAGGAGGAGGAGGAGGAGGAGGAAGAGCAGGAGCACGTGAGGAGGAGGAGGGGGAGGAGGAGGAGGAGGAGGAGGAGGAAAGGAGGAGGAGGAGGGAAGGAGGAGATGGAGGAGGAGGAGTAATAATAAGAATAATAATTCGAAAACGAAGAATAATAATACTACTACTAATAATACTCATAATAATAATAGTAATAAGACTAAGAATAATATGAATACTACTTCAAATAAGAGTATCAAGAATAGTACCATTGAGAAGAAACATACAAGTGATACTAACACTAAGAATTCGAACAATAATACGAAGCACGAGACTACTACTAATAATAATAGTAATACCACGAATAATAATAATATTAATAATAATAATGAGGAGGCGGGAGGATGAGTCAAGCTGAGGAGGAGGATGAGGTGGGTGCGGAGGAGGGAGAGGTGGGGTTGTCGGAGCGCGTCTTTCGTTTTCAGACTTGGGGGCTCTAGTTTTTTTGTGTTTAGTTGGCGGTCTTAACCAGGATGATTTCCGGTCAAGGGCCCTCTTGGAGTCGTACTTCGAACGCTGTTTTTTTTCTTTACGCTCCATTGTGTGTTTAACGCGTGCTGTTTAAACCACCTTTTTTTTTCTGTTGGGTTCCTCAGGGGCTGACACTAGCTTGCAAGTGCTGATGGTTCCGTGGCTTCCCGCCCTGATCACCGCAAACGCTCGCTGTTTTCACTCTTGCCTTCACTTGCAGCTCTCCTCGCTGTACGTCGGTGGCGCCAAGCCATGCGTTCAGTTGTGATTCCGACATGGGGGCACTGCCGGCTACGAGTATACGTGCGCATGTGGTCTGCCATTCGCCACAACCTTATTCCTGCTCGTGGCCACATGTGGAGATCCGACATCTGCGGTGTTCACACTGGCTGCTAGTATTTCCGCACGCCGCACGCTTAATAGTACCGTCCCTTTGAAATTTGCCACCCAGGACTAGTTGAACCAAAGAATTTGCTTCCTACGTAGACCAGCTTACCCATTGGATTTTGGCTCTTTGACCAACGTGTGGCGGCCTCCCCACTTGCGTGAGACGCGCACGCACTGATGCATGGTGTTGCTGGTTCGATTTGCTCACGGATGTGCTGGATCAGTTTCTTTCTTTCGATCTGCAGTAGTTCATGGGGTGGAGAGGAGGTCAATGCTGACGACGAGGATGGCGGGGACAACGAGGCCGACGAAGTCGAGGACGAGGAAGAGAAGGGGGCAGCGCCCTTGTGCGATGGCGTCGGCACTTGCCTACTGGCCGTTAGCCGGCGCGAGGCCACACAAGCAGGTCACCCCCAGGATCGCGCAGCTCGCCTTCCTGTGTGCCACGGGAAGAACCACACCATCTACTGCTTCCTCCACTTCTTCTTCTTCTTCGTCTTGGTCCTTTTCTTCTTCTTCTTCTTGTATTGCCTCCTCCTCTTCCTCTTATTCTCCTTCCTCTTCTTCTTATTCGTCTTCTTCGCCTTGGTCCTCTTCATCCCCTGCATCGTCGTCGTCGGTGTCGTACCCATGGTGGCAAGGAAGAGGCAGGACTGTGATCATGCTTGTCTGATGTGACAGCAGGCCTTGTCTCACCCTGAATAGTGGATTCGAGTCTGCTGCCGCGCGACTCAGCCAGCGCGCTTGGGGGCGCCTGGGGGACTTGGCGCCTGTAGGGTGGGTGGGTGGGTCAGGCGATCGCAAACATGGATCAAGGGGGCGTGGATTAGCGATGGATTCAGGGGGCGTGATTAGCGACAAGTCCCGTTTCCATGGAGGAGGAGGTTAGGAGGAGGAGGAGGAGGAGGAGGAGGGAGGGGAGGAGCAGGAGGAGGGTGGAGGGGAAGGAGGAGGGGGAGGAGGAGGGGAAGGAGGAGGAGGAGGAGGCCGAGCCAGGCGACGTCACAATGTCGTTGCACCCAGGTTTGCTCTGAGACGCCGTCGTGCAGACGTGGCCCCCGACCTTGGTAGGTCGTGCCATGCGCAGCACTCAAGCGGTGCACCTACCATCAACCCAGCCCTGATCGTGAGCGTTTTCTTATTCATGCTTTTGCCGATCGGCGCAGACCCACGCCGCACCCCCCCCCTCCCTCCCCCCCAATGGAGTAGATCTTGTGCCGTTTTGGCGAAGGTTTCGAGCATGTGGGGAGTCTCCCCCATAGGACGCACTGTCCCAAACAGTCGCACTAAGCAGAGGTCCAGAGCCACAAGACCCCCCCCCCCCCCCCCCCCCCCCCCCCCTCCCCTTCCGCCCAATGTCGAAACGCCGAATATAAGCACGCTCACATCCTGATCCTCATCCCCACACCCCCGAAGACAACTACCGCGTAATCAAGAATTTTCGCGGAGGCCTGCGCGGATTTCCCAGCTCTCCTACCTGCTCGAGTCATGCTGTGATGATGGCCCCATCCTTCGGGTGCGACCTCTGGGAGAGTGAGATTCCGGAGGCCTCTGGAAGTCACCAGAGGCTCCCAGAAGTTTCATAGGACCAAACCCCCTAATGATTTGCATCTTCGATTCTCGAAGCTCTGGGATCCCTCCAGCGCTCTCTGCTTTCCTCCCGCATCCTCCTTCTCTCCTCCCTTCACCCCGTCCTACAGCTGGGCTTGCCCTGCCAGAACCTGACAGATACAGGCTACGAGCCGGAGTTGTTCCCACGTGCACGGTGCCCCTCACCAGCAGCTCCAACTGATACCCCGAGGGACTGTGGAATGCCGGCCTCCCGCAGTCCTGGCCGCTCGGTCGGCAACCCTCCCGCCTCCCTTCTTCCTGCATCCCCCCCCCCACCCTCCATCCTCGCCCTCCCCCCCCGCCATGCCATGCCGTGCTCTACAATGCATCGCGTACCCTTTCGGGATCATTGCCCTGCTCGACATCCGACTGTGCGAGTAGAGATTGGATCTGCGCCATGGTAAGGGATGGGAGGGAGGGGTAGGATGTCAGATATGACGCGAGCGCACCTAGCTTGCCCCCTCCCCCTTCCCCTCCCCCTCCCTCCTCGTCCCCCTCCCCCTCCATCCGTCCTCGTCCCCCCCACCCTCCAGCCTCGTCCCCCCCTCCCGTGGCCTCCCCCCCCGCGGGCGCGCCCGCCGTTCCAGGAAGGGCCTCCGAAAAAGGCCCGGGGACGGTGCTGCGCGGTGCGCGAGGCACAGCATCGAGTCGGGCCTGTCCCTCGACAGGAGGAAGAGTGTCCAAACATGGTCGGGGACTTTTTGTTTTGTTTTTTTGTTTTTGGCTTGTTTTGCTTTGTTTTTTCCCTACCTGGGCTCTGCCTAGAAGGGTTCTTACTCTGAGGCTTAAAGGGCCTGGCAGTTGGGCACGCCCTGGGCGGTTCCCCCAGGTTCCGCCCCGCGGTTCCCCCAGTGACGTTCCCTTAGCTTCGCGTTGCTTATCTCATATTAGCTTAGCTTATTTCATCTTACCTTAACTTAGCTTCATCTTACCTCCGTTGTATCTTGGCTTAGCTTATCTTCATCTTAGCTTCGCTGAGCTTTAGCATAGCAGAGCACAACATAGCATATCATAGCGTAGCATATCATAGCGCAGCACAGCATATCATAGCATAGCCCAGCATATCATAGCATAGCGCAGCATATCATAGCACAGCATATCATAACATAACGCAGCACAGCACAGCACATCATAGCGCAGCTCATCATATCATAACATAGCATAGCATACTTTAGCATAACACAGCGCATCATGCCATATCATATATTAGCATATCATATCATAGCATATCATAACATGTCATATCACATTATAGCATAGCATATCATAACATAGCATAGCATTGCATAACAAAGCGCATAATAGCATAGCATAGCATATCATAGCATAGCATAGCAACTAATGCTGCTTTCCTAGGGGCTCCAACTTCTAGGTAGGTCTGCACTGGGGTAATGCTATATATATATATATATATATATATATATAGATTCGCCTGTCGGAGGACACACCCGACCTCATGTGGCAGGTTCGCGCCTCGTCGGCGCGGTGACGATCCCGCCGCGCGCTTCCGGGGTCGAACGCCGCTGGCGGCCCAGCATCGGCCGACACCGAGCGACTGGTTTCTTTATCTGCAAGCCGTGATCTTTCAAGGTTGAGCGATCAACGATACCCATCGGTCGTTGAAAGTAGGTATTTTTGGATTCCCAGATTCCAACCTACTTTCAGCGCCTTCCCACTGCAAGAGTCGAGTGGTTTTCCCTCCTCCCTCCTCCTCAGGAGGCGGGCGGAAACCCAATCCATTTCCAACGCCTTCCTGCTTCATGTTTCTACCTACTTCTTCCGACCGATGGGTAGGTCAGCAAGCACTGGCGTCGTCGTTTCGACACGAACTTGGCCGCAGCATGGCCTTGCCGATGAGCAACAGTGGTGAGGCCGAGGAGGGAGGTTCCAACCGCTTGCATCGGCCACACACCGTTGACCGGGCGGTGCACGATCCGAATCTTTCCGGGCACTGTGCTTGGTGCATTCCGTCGCCACCACGCTGGCGGGAAGTGCAGAGTGCGTGGCATGATCACCCCCGAGACCCATTTTTGGCTTCGCCGCATTTTTGCTCAGGGCTCGGCATCCGAGCGTGACGAAATTGTGAAGAGGCGGACAAGCGAAGCGCGGCGACGCTGTCCTGGCAACACCGTCCTCGGCCTTTCCGCTACTGACATCACCGTCCTCAGGCTCATTATTCATCTTTTTACTGGCAACTCGCTCTACCATACTCTTTCCATTTCCAGCTGCCCGCGGCAAGTCCCGCCACCGTGCCTGGGTTGTGGGTTGTAAGCCTAGTGGGTGTTCGTTGGACTCGTGGGAGGCCTCTCGGGGGCCTCTTGGAGGCAGTTTAGAGGCCTCTTGGGGGCCGTTTGGAGGTCTCTTGGGGGCGTCGTGGAGGCCTCTTGGGAACTCTTAGGGGCCTCTTGCGGGCCTCTTGGGGCCTCTTTGGCGCCTCTTGGGGCCTCCTGGGGCGGGGGGGGGGCCTCTTGGGGCGGAAGGCTTGGATTTTCGATTCGTGTTCCTTCTCTGGGGCTCTGGGGCCCCTTTTGGGGCCGTCTTGGGGCCCTCTTGGGCCATCTTGGGCGCCTCTCGGGCCGTCTTGGGGCGCTCGTGGGGCCCTGATTGAGGCATCTTGGGCCGTTTTGCGGTGATCTTGGAGGCCTCTTGGGCCGTCGTGGAGCGTCGGACATCCTAAAAGGCGAGAAAGTCAAATTCCTTCAATAACTAACGTTAAATCAATGATTTTTGCCTTTTGGGGGCCCTCTTTGGAGACCTCTTGGAAGCCTCTTGGGGCGCGTTGGAAGCCTCTTGCGACATCTTGAGGCCATCTTGGGCCTCTTCGACCGATAGGTCGGCGTTTCGGGGCCTTTTGGACCGTCTTGGGCACCTCCTGGGACGTCATGGAAGCCTTGGAGGGCCCCAGGGATGCGCCATGGCCGCCCAGGGACCCCCTGGGGAGCATGGCTGGTGCACGCGACGAGTTGCGGCCTGGAGGGGGAGGGAGTTCCTGAGAAAATTATGGAAGTCCTGCCAGACAGCACTTGGCATTCTAGCACGCCTCAGCTTTCCAGTTGGCACGGTGGCTGATCTCTGGTCCAAACTCTTGACTTCCTTCGTCTGACAGCAGAAGTTGGCTGCCAACCCGACTCCTATAATTGGCTTTTACTCGAAAGCCCTACCCTGTTCAATTCCTTCCCTGGGTGCGCTCACTGAACGGCTTCTCCGGGTTCTTATTCTGGGGGTGGATTTTCTGCTCTCTCTTGGCCCTCGGAGCTCGATCCTTGCTCGGTGTTCGATCCTTAGCCTCAGAAGTCAAGTCGTCGATCCTCGTGCGGTAGGCTCGCGTCGTGTCAACCAGCGGCGACCCCGCCGCGGACGTTCAGTGCTGAACGTTGCCGGCGACCCGGAATCGGTTTGAGTTGGATGATGTGACGTTTTGGGAACGGCCGATCGTTCAAGGTTTAGCGATCGCCGCGGTGTCAGCATCCAGCGCCGAAGTCGGCAGGAAACGAACTTGCCGTACAGTCAACCCGCATAATAAGGTTGGGCGACCTTCCCAAGGGCACCCTTGCATCCTTGCCTCCTCGGCCCATCCTTGGCCATCCTTGTTGGCCGCGCCCCGCTCAAGAAGCTTCGAGGCGGCCTTCCAAGGCCCTTGCATCCTTACCGCGCATCCTTCTGATACGGGCCGACTGTATGGGGGGTGGATGTCATGGTGGGGGCCATGGTGTCTCTGTGGATTTTACGGCCCCTCGTCTTATGTCAATGCGGATTCCTTCTGTTGTTTTTTGCCAATTTGGCATTCCTGGACGTCCTGTGTGAGCACGCTGCCAGCCTCTTGGGGCCTCCCTGTGCTGCTGGAGACCTCCCGGGGCTGCCCGCGGGCCTCCTGGGACCGTCCTTCGGGGGCCCCCAAACTGTGTGGTGACCGCACCGTGTGGTGAGTCGGCGGGGATGCGTGGTCACCGCACGGTTTTGGGACTCGAGCCCCTCTCCGAGGGTCCTAAAACCGTGCGTGGACGGACCGTGCGGTGAGGTCTGGTGGACTTCGAGGGCACCGCGCGGTCTGCCACCGCACCGCTGCGGGATTCCAAAGTCGTGGGGCCCTCCTCCTGATCACCAGCTAGTGCGCTGAGCTTGCTTCCGGGAGCTTGTCTTCTCCTTCCGGGAGGACCGGTTCTGCAGCCGCGGATCTGCCGGCCCTCGCCCAGCTCCCGAGCGACACGGGTCGGCTGTCGCTCGGACGCCTCGCTCGTCGACGAGCCCGGCGGCGCCCCCCCCCCCCCCCGGCAGGACCCCATGACCCACCCGTCCGCGTCCGCGGCGGGCCTCACCGCGGCGGCGTGCGCCCCGCTCCTGCCGCCCTCTGCGGCCGCCGGGGGGGGCGGCGGCTGGGCGGCGCTCGGGCGCGTGCATCGTCCTCGATCGGCGGGGATCATCGAGGAGCATCCTGGAGCACCTTGCGCGGCGGGAGGCGATCCATGGAGAGGAGGCGCGGGGCCGAGTCCTTTGCAGATGTCGGGCATGTCCAGCACAGGCTCCTCGAGTGCTGCAACACGGTTTGAGCATGCGTCGAACATCTTTGAACATGTATCGGGGAAACGCAAGACCCGAGTAAGCCGGAAGTCGGGTTTGCCGACTTTTTTTGACGAGCGCCTCCTGGATTTTGACGGTCCGGTTTTCGTGGGGTGTCTGCAGCGGGAGCCCGCGTCAAATTTCAGATTGGATTTCGTCATTTTCATAAGGCCCCCGTCAGGCCAACCCGAGTCCCCCGTACCCGAGTCTTACGTCTCCCCGATTTTAGTTTAGTGACAGAGCGGTTCGAATCCTCACTGCCATGGCCTCCACGACTCCTGCGAAGCATGAGCGCGCCGAAGCATGCGTGCGTTGGATGGGCGCCCGAGCGGTGGCGAGGAGCGGGGGGGGAAGGCTGAGCTCAGAGGACAGAGGAGCAGGGAGGAGGAGGAGGAGGAGGAGGAGGAGGAGGAGGAGGAGGAGGAGGAGGAGGAGGAGGAGCAGGGAGGAGCAGGGAGGAGGAGGAGGAGCAGGAGGAGGAGCAG